AAGAGTCAGAAAACTAACGTATATTTTTAAAAACTTAAGACATGTCACAAACTGGATATTGCTAAAAACTGTTTATATATCCTTGTGCCAATCTATATTAACTTACGGTATTACTGTTTGGGGAGGTTTCAATAAAACACACATGCTTGAATTGGAAAGAGCTCAAGGAATGATTTTAAAAGTTGTACTTTATAAACCAAAATTTTTCTTAATAACCAGTTTATTCAATGAAGCTAACGTGCTTACAGTACGAAAATTATACATATTGTATTCAATTTTAAAAAAAAACACACTTGCACTGTGTATACACCCAATTTACTACAAACTAGGAGAAGAAATTATGAGGTATGTGAAACGATACAAGCAAAATCTTCTTTCCCCCAAAAGTTTATTAAATGGTTATATAAAAAGTTAAGTAAATGGGTACAGAATAGGCAGGTTATATAATAAGGTTAATAAAAAACATTCAATTTTTCAACTAACAAAATATAAATGTAAGAAAAAATTAACAGATTGGCTTATGAAACTAGATTACGAAGAAACAGAGAATTTACTGTAAAAGCGGAATAGTGAGAAACACACTCACACACACACACACACACACACACACACACACACACACACACACACACACACACACACACACACACACAACACACACACACACACACACACACACACACATACGCACACGTATATTTGTATGTTTGTATATGTATATATATGTATGTATTTATATATGTGTATATATATTTATATAAAATTTTGATTATATACTTTTATTATTATCATTTAAAACATATTGCATATTATATTTATTCTATATGACTTTAATTGTAAATTACACTTTGGAAATCTCATATCCGATCTCCACATGCAACGCTCAATTCATGTCTAAGAACAGTATAATCGAAAAGTATGTAATAAAGCCAAGAGGGGGAGCCAGGAGACCCATAGCACAGGGTAACATAGTTTGGGCTCCTGTCTCCCACTACTACTCAAAAAACTCTTTAACTACTTATGAAACTATTGTAATTATGTAAAAAGTGGGAGAAATAAGTGTTTATTATTATTATTATAATATTATGTTATAATATACGAGTATTTAATCAATTTCATATCGAACCATATCCAATTAAAAAAAAAGATTAAAATTCATATCAATCTATAAAAGTAACATTCTGACTAACGCGTTTGTAGCAAAGCTACAAGGAAACAGAGGTTTCGGTAAGGAATGGGATTGCGTTATAATTCAGAAGAGAATTGAAAATACATTCAATTTAAACATAAAATAATTAAGATTGTTTCTGTTTCGTCAAGAAGATATTGAGCTAAATAAATTTTTATTTACTTTTATTTTTAAGAAATCAATATACTTTTTGTCCTGTATATTACCCCAGAGAGCGTTCTCTTTCGTTCGTTTTAATTTTACAAATAATGTTCTTCTTAGGATTTTTAAGATTGTGATAGAGAATATACGATTTTTATCTAAAACTTTCACGTCTTCTTTTTTCGATGAACATAAAATAATATTATATCAATTACTCTTACGCGTTTACTGATGATTTCTTATGTTTACGTGAACACTACACATTTTATTAAACTAGTTTTATTAACCATTTATTGATTCTACAAGTAACTAGAATTTTGATAGATTTAAAACCACGTATTAATTATATTGTTATTTGTCAAATTAATCTAACTTTTTTATTTAATTGGAAATATTAAATGTGAAATGTGGCGTTGATACTGTGCAACTCAATAACAACGAATTAAGTATCCAGTTCAGAAAACTTTTCGAATATTTAATCACATGTCCACGCATCGTACACAATTCTATCATAAAATAAGATGCTTGGTCAACCGCGTAGGCATCATACACTGTGGATGCCCAATGAAAATGTATCAATTGTAGTAGAAGTTAGTATAAAAATATATAACTATAATTTGAAAAAAAAAGTAATGTAAATGAAAATGAGTCTTGGGTACTTGAAATTAAATAAATAAGTAATAATAATAATAATAATAATAATAATAATCGCATTCTGGCGCAGCCTGTGGTCAGAGCCCGTAAACCACAACGAGGGCCCTTGGACGGAAGTTGTGGCGAGTCAGTGTGCGGGTATTACGCCCATGGACCCCGTCACCATAACGCCGGATGACGTAGCTGAGGCGGTCCGTAGGGCCCCGAACTGGAAAAGTCCGGGACTCGACGGGCTGCATCACTACTGGCTGAAGGGGTTCGTGGTGTGTCACACTGTGCTCGCCCGACAGTTTCAAGAGGTTCTCAACCAGAAGTCGCTCCCGAGCCTCTTCACTACTGGGATCACCCATTTGGTTCCTAAAGGCCAGAGTACCACAGACCCGAGCAAATACCGCCCCATCACATGTCTACCGACCATATATAAGACACTAACATCCATTTTGAGCGCGAGAATCACTCGTCACCTGGACTCAAATCAGGTGATGTCGCGCGCTCAAAATGGATGTCGGGGCGGCGGTCGTGGAACCAAGGAACCACTCCTCATTGACGCGGTCATTGGCAAAGTGGTGAAACGCAACCGTCGGAACTTCTCCGCCGCCTGGATAGACTACAGAAAGGCATTCGACTCGGTGCCCCATACATGGCTAAAGAGAGTCCTCGAACTGTACAAGATTGACTGTACAGTTAGAGACTTCCTCGAGCAGTGTATGGGGCAGTGGAGTACGATCCTTTGTCATCTGGGCGAGCGGATGATGGCTGCGGAGAACCACATAAGGATAAGAAGGGGTATCTTCCAGGGCGATTGTCTGAGTCCAATATGGTTCTGCCTCTCTCTGAACCCTCTCAGTACCTTACTGGAGGGCTCCGGGAGGGGATTTCAGCTACGGAAAGGAGGGACAAAAGTGACCCACCTTTTCTATATGGATGACCTCAAGTTATTCGCCTCCAGTCGCTCCCATCTTATGGAACTGCTAAACATCACTTGTGAATTTAGCAATTCCATTGGAATGGAGCTGGGGACGGATAAGTGTGCGGTCCTCCATGTTGAGAGGGGTAGGGTTGCTAACTCTGAGGGCATAGACTTATCTATGCCCGTCAACTTAAGGACCCTTTCCGAGGCTGAAACATACCGATACCTGGGTATGTCACAGAACATTGGTATCGATGAGGCTGGTATGAAACAGTCAGTTTGCGACATGTTTTATGCACGCTTGACCAAAGTGCTTAACAGCCTTTTGTCCGGTGTGAATAAGACACAAGCATATAACGGCTGGGTCATACCTGTCCTCATGTATACCTTTGGCATACTCAGGTGGACTCAGACTGAACTTAACGCCCTGGATAGAAAAGTCCGCACTACCATGACGTCCCACAGGATGCATCATCCGAGATCGTCGGTAATGAGGCTGTACTTGCCGCGAAAGCACGGTGGGCGTGGCTTCTTGAGCGCGCTCACCATGCATAATCGCGAAGTGTGCAGCCTCCGTCATTACTTCCTGGCGAGATCGGATGATCCATTCTATAAGGACGTCATTTCTTGTGATAAAGGACTTACCCCTCTATCCTTAGCCAACGAGCAATGGCAGGACCCGGCAGTGCAGACAATTTCCGACCGGGAGACCGTATGGAAGGAGAAGGAGCTCCACGGGAGGTTCTACAAGTCTCTACATGGGCCTTTCGTAGACACAGTAACCTCTCTCCACTGGCTACGCTTTGGTGACCTCTTCGGGGGAAACCGAGGGTTTTGTCTGTGCAATACAGGATCAGGTTATTAAGACCAACAACTATCGGAGATACATCCTAAAGGATGGCACCATCGACATCTGTCGAGCTTGTCGCCATCCCGGTGAGTCACTTAGGCATGTCATCTCCGGTTGTTCGGCGCTTTCTAACTCTGAGTACTTGCACAGGCACAACCTAGTAGCCAGAATTCTACACCAGGAGCTCGCTCTGAAATACGGTTTCGTGGATCGGAAGTTGCCGTATTACAAGTACTTGCCGGAAGCCGTGCTCGAAAATGATCGCGCCAGGCTCTATTGGGACCGGGCAATCATCACAGACAGGACTATTCTTGCGAATAAGCCTGATATTGTGCTGATGGACCGGGCACAGTCAAGGATATTTTTGGTCGACATTACCATTCCGTGTGACGAGAACCTCGTGAAAGCCGAAACAGATAAGCAAACAAAATATCTGGACCTGGCTCACGAGGTGACCGACATGTGGGGTGGTCTGCCGACCGAAATTATTCCTGTAGTCGTCTCTGCAAACGGGCTAATCCCAGTCAGCCTCTCGGGACATCTGAGGCGGCTGGGACTACGTGGCGGACCGCTCCAGGCTCAAATGCAGAAGGCGGTGCTCCTCGATACCGCCCGCATCGTCCGCCGGTTTCTTTCCCTTTCCCCCTAACCCTCGGCCGTTTGGTCTCCCCTGCCGAGGGCTTCCATCTGGTTGGGCTTTTATTTATTTATGTATTTTCATATTTATTTTATTTTATTGATATTTTTGTATGTTTATCTTTTCATTTTCGTTTATAATTATATATTTATACATCCCAACCAGATGAGAAAACTATATAGATACCCCACACATAATAATAATAATAATAATAATAATAAGGCGTAGGGAAGTGACGATCCCATCGCCCGCTGACGTAACAGTTATGTGACAAAACTGCGACGTCGGCGCAGTCAGTCAGCATCCTGCCAAGAGGTGTGAGCGCCGTGCCTAGGCAAAATTGTAGATGCAAAGGTCCGTTTGTGCATATGACCCAACCACGAAACGGTGCCGGGCTTGGGCGTCTCCCGTTATTTGGCGCCCATAAAATGGATGATGGAAGAAACACAAAAAGGAACGCGCATAGGGCCGCTGCCTGGGGGTCGCCGGGGCGCGTCTGGAGCTGGCGCTGGACGCGGCAGCATGCGGGCCGCCAGCCGAGCGCGAGAAGCTGCACGATCATATGGCTGGAGATGCAGCTCCACATTCGACAGACCAGCATCCACACATGGAAACCGCCATGGATCTTCCAGTTGTGGTTGATTCGAACGACGATGAAATAGTCTCCCACGAACTAGAGCAAATGAGGAGTATATTGGAAGAGGCGATTTTGGAAACGCGCAGCACCCCTCTCGAAAATCGACCGCGACTTCCCCGCATACCCTTAAGCAAGCGAAATCGGGCTGTCGTGAGGGCTCTTAACCCAATGCTGGTGACCTATTTGGAAGCCAGCCGGGACCTTTGCGAGACGGACTCGATTCTCTTTGGCGCCGCAGTGGCAGTTTGCCGTATTATTGGCGCCAAACTTCCCATGGCTGGACGCGCTACTACACAAAGTAACGCCATCCCAGCCTGGAGGAAAAGAATCGAGGACCGTATCGCAAAGGCAAGGGCCCTTATCGGCAGACTGACAAGCTTCAGGTCGGGTAATAATAGACCGAGGATTATGCGCACCGTTAGGATGGCGTTTGCTGGGACAAATATCAGTTTGTCCCAGCCGGATATCACGCAGAAACTAACGGAGCGCATAGACGACCTGAAGCAAAAGATCGCTGCTTGGGGGAAGCGGATTCGACGATTTTCCGAGGGGTCAAGGCGGTTCAACCAGAATCGTCTCTTCCAGAGTGATCAGAAGAGGCTCTATAAATCATTGGAGCGACCAAAGGTATGTGTAGCGGGCCAAGGACCGGATCAGGCTGACATTATCATATTCTGGCGTGGCCTGTGGTCAGAGCCCGTAAACCACAGCGAGGGCCCTTGGATGGAAGTTGTGGCGAGCCAGGGTGCGAGTGTTACGCCTATGGACCCCATCACCATAACGCCAGAAGACGTGGCTGAGGCGGTCCGTAGGGCCCCGAACTGGAAAAGTCCGGGGCTCGACGGGCTGCATCATTACTGGCTGAAGGGGTTCGTAGTGTGTCACGCTGTGCTCGCCCGACAGATTCAAGAGGCTCTCGACCAGAAGTCACTCCCGAGCCTCTTCACTACAGGGATCACTCACTTGGTTCCTAAAGATCAAGATACCACAGACCCGAGCAAATACCGCCCCATCACGTGTCTACCCACCATATATAAGACACTGACATCCATTTTGAGCGCGAGAATCACTCGTCACCTGGAGCTAAACCAGGTGATGTCACGCGCTCAAAATGGATGTCGGGGCGGTGGTCGTGGAACTAAGGAACCACTCCTCATTGACGCGGTCATAGGCAAAGTGGTGAAACGCAACCGTCGGAACTTCTCTGCCGCCTGGATAGACTACAGAAAGGCGTTCGACTCGGTGCCCCACACATGGCTAAAGAGGGTCCTCGAGCTGTACAAGATTGACTGTACAGTTAGAGACTTCCTCGAGCAGTGTATGGGGCAGTGGAGTACGATCCTTTGTCATCTGGGCGAGCGGATGACGGCTGCGGAGAACCACATAAGGATAAGAAGGGGTATCTTCTAGGGCGATTGTCTGAGTCCAATCTGGTTCTGCCTCTCTCTTAACCCTCTCAGTACCTTACTGGAGGGCTCCGGGAGGGGATTTCAGCTACGGAGAGGAGGGACAAAAGTGACCCACCTTTTCTATATGGATGACCTCAAGTTATTCGCCTCCAGTCGCTCCCATCTTATGGAACTGCTAAACATCACTTGTGAATTTAGCAGTTCCATTGGAATGGAGCTGGGGACGGATAAGTGTGCGGTCCTCCATGTTGAAAGGGGAAGGGTTGCTAACTCTGAGGGCATAGACTTGTCTATGCCCGTCAACTTAAGGACCCTTTCCGAGGCTGAAACATACCGATACCTGGGTATGTCACAGAACATCGGTATCGATGAGGCTGGTATGAAACAGTCAGTTTGCGACGTGTTTTATGCACGCTTGACCAAAGTGCTTAACAGCCTTTTGCCCGGTGTGAATAAGACACACGCATATAACGGCTGGGTCATCCCTGTCCTCATGTATACCTTTGGCATACTCAGGTGGACTCAGACTGAGCTTAACGCCCTGGATAGAAAAGTCCGCACTACCATGACGTCCCATAGGATGCATCATCCGAGATCGTCGGTAATGAGGCTGTACTTGCCGCGAAAGCATGGTGGGCGTGGCTTTCTGAGCGCGCTCACCATGCATAATCGCGAAGTGTGCAGTCTCCGTCAGTACTTCTTGGCGAGATCGGATGATCCATTCTATAATGACTTCATTTCTAGTGATAAAGGGCTTACCCCTCTATCCTTAGCCAACGAGCAATGGCAGGACCCAGCAGTGCTTAGCAATTCCGACCGGGAGACCGTATGGAAGGAGAAGGAGCTCCACGGGAGGTACTACAAGGCTCTACATGGGCCCTTCGTAGATACAGTCGCCTCCCTCAACTGGCTACGTTTCGGTGACCTCTTCGGGGGAAACCGAGGGTTTTGTCTGTGCAATACAGGATCAGGTTATTAAGACCAACAACTATCGGAGATACATCCTAAAGGATGGCACCGTCGACGTCTGTCGAGCTTGTCGCCATCCCGGGGAGTCACTTAGGCATGTCATCTCCGGTTGTTCGGCGCTTTCTAACTCTGAGTACTTGCACAGGCACAACCTAGTAGCCAGAATTCTACACCAGGAGCTCGCGCTGAAATACGGTCTCGTGGACCGGAAATTGCCGTATTACAAGTACTTGCCGGAAGCCGTGCTCGAAAATGACCGCGCCAGACTCTACTGGGACCGGGCCATCATCACAGACAGGACTATTCTTGCGAATAAGCCTGATATTGTGCTGATGGACCGGGCACAGTCAAGGATATTTTTGGTCGATATTACCATCCCGTATGACGAGAACCTCGTGAGAGCCGAAACAGATAAGCAATCAAAATATCTGGACCTGGCTCACGAGGTGACGGACATGTGGGGTGGTCTGCCGGCCGAAATTATTCCTGTAGTCGTCTCTGCGAATGGGCTAGTCCCAGTTAGCCTCTCTGGTCATCTGAGGCGACTGGGACTCCGTGACGGACCGCTCCGGGCTCAAATGCAGAAGGCGGTGCTCCTTGATACCGCCCGCATCGTCCGCCGGTTTCTTTCCCTTTCTTCCTAACCCTCGGCCGTTTGGTCTCCCCCTGCCGAGGGCTTCCATCTGGTTGGGCTTTTATTTATTTATGTATTTTTGTATTTATTTTATTTTATTGATATTTATGTATATTTATCCTTTCATTTTCGTTTATAATTATATATTTATACATCCCAACCAGATGAGAAAACTATATAGATACCCCACACATAATAATAATAATAATAAAAGGCGTAGGGAATTGACGACCCCATCGCCCGCTGACGTAACAGTTAAGTGACAAAACTGCTACGTCAACGCAGTCAGTCAGCGCCTTGCCGAGAGGTGTGAGCGCCGTGCTTCGGCAGAATTTAGGGTGCAAAGGCCCGTTTGTGAACTTATGGCGTACACACGAAACGGTGCCGGGCCTGGGCGTCTCCCGTTAATGGACGCCCAAATAATGGATGATGGATAAAAAGATAGTGCGCAAAGGGCCGCTGTCTGGGGGTCGCCGGGGCGTGTCTGGAGCTGGCGCTGGACGCGGCAGCATGCGGGCCGCCAGCCGAGCGCGAGGAGCTGCGCGGTCATATAGCAGCCCTCCGCATCCATCATCCCCACCAGAAGGCTTGGTGTCGGCTGGGTCTTCTCGGACTCAGCAAGCGGCACCCGCCGCTGGTGGAGCACGTCGCATGCGTTGGTCACAAGCAATGAATGCAAACGCACTGCGGGCGTACTTTAGGGCAAAAGGGGAAGAAACTGGATGTTTAGCGTATCAAGCTAGGATGCATCGTCTTTTTGCTGAGCTGGAGCCATCTTTAATCGTCACAGAGCAAAACCTGGCAGACCGAGTTCGGTATAACTTGCGCTCAAATATATTTGATGTCGCCGAACTCGAACGGCTACGACGTGAGGCTGTTCCCTCGTCGGAATGAGAATGCTACGGCTGAGGATGCGGCGCCACAAATGATAGAGCCACCCGCAAACGTGGATGCCGCCGTGAATACCCCAGTTGTGGTTGATTCAAACGATGATGGAACAGTCGCCCAGGAACTGGAATTAGAGCATATGAGGAGTACATTGGAAGAGGAGATTGTGGAAACGCGTAGTACGCCTCTCGAAAATCGACCGCGACTTCCCCGCATAGCCCTAAGCAAGCGGAATCGGGCTGTCGTGAGGGCTCTGAACCCAATGCTGGTGACCTATTTGGAAGCCAGCCGGGACCTTTGCGAGACGGACTCAATTCTTTTTGGCGCCGCGCTGGCAGTCTCCCGTATCATAGGCGCCAAGGTTTCCACGGCTGGACGCGCTACTGGCCATAGTAGCGCTATCCCAGCATGGAGAAGAAGAATTGAGGAACGTATCGCAAAGGCTAGAGCTCTCATTGGCAGACTGATATGCTTCAGATCAGGCAACAACAGGCCAAGAATTGTGCGCACCGTCAGGATGGCGTTTGCTGGGACAAATGTCAGTTTGTCCCAGCCGGATATAACGCAAAAACTGACGGAGCGCATAGATGATCTGAAGCAGAGAATCGCTGCTTGGGGAAAGCGGATTCGGCGATATACCGAGAGGTCGACACGGTTCAACCAGAATCGTCTCTTCCAGAGTGATCAGAAGAGGCCCTATGAATCATTGGAGCGACCAATGGTAAGTGGAACGGGTCCAGCACCGAATCAGGCCGACACTGTAGCATTCTGGCGCGGCCTGTGGTCAGAGCCCGTAAACCACAGCGAGGGCCCTTGGACGGAAGTTGTGGCGAGTCAGTGTGCGGGTATTACGCCCATGGACCCCGTCATCATAACGCCGGATGACGTAGCTGAGGCGGTCCGTAGGGCCCCGAACTGGAAAAGTCCGGGGCTTGACGGGCTGCATCACTACTGGCTGAAGGGGTTCATGGTGTGTCACTCTGTGCTCGCCCGACAGTTTCAAGAGGCTCTCAACCAGAAGTCGCTCCCAAGCCTCTTCACTACTGGGATCACTCATTTGGTTCCTAAAGACCAGGGTACCACAGACCCGAGCAAATACCGCCCCATCACGTGTCTACCGACCATATACAAGACACTAACATCCATTTTGAGCGCGAGAATCACTTGTCACCTGGACTCAAATCAGGTGATGTCGCGCGCTCAAAATGGATGTCGGGGCGCTGGTAGTGGAACCAAGGAACCACTCCTCATTGACGCGGTCATTGGCAAAGTGGTGAAACGCAACCGTCGGAACTTCTCCGCCGCCTGGATAGACTACAGAAAGGCATTCGACTCGGTGCCCCATACATGGCTAAAGAGAGTCCTCGAGCTGTACAAGATAGACTGTACAGTTAGAGACTTCCTCGAGCAGTGTATGGGGCAGTGGAGTACGATCCTTTGTCATCTGGGCGAGCGGATGATGGCTGCGGAGAACCACATAAGGATAAGAAGGGGTATCTTCCAGGGCGATTGTCTGAGTCCAATCTGGTTCTGCCTCTCTCTGAACCCTCTCAGTACCTTACTGGAGGGCTCCGGGAGGGGATTTCAGCTACGGAAAGGAGGGACAAAAGTGACCCACCTTTTCTATATGGATGACCTCAAGTTATTCGCCTCGAGTCGCTCCCATCTTATGGAATTGCTAAACATCACTTGTGAATTTAGCAATTCCATTGGAATGGAGCTGGGGACGGATAAGTGTGCGGTCCTCCATGTTGAAAGGGGAAGGGTTGCTAACCCTGAGGGCATAGATTTATCTATGCCCGTCAACTTAAGGACCCTTTCCGAGGCTGAAACATACCGATACCTGGGTATGTCACAGAACATCGGTATCGATGAGGCTGGTATGAAACAGTCAGTTTGCGACGTGTTTTATGCACGCTTGACCAAAGTGCTTAACAGCCTTTTGTCCGGTGTGAATAAGACACACGCATATAACGGCTGGGTCATGCCTGTCCTCATATATACCTTTGGCATACTCGGGTGGACTCAGACCGAACTTAACGCCCTGGATAGAAAAGTCCGCACTACCATGACGTCCCATAGGATGCATCATCCGAGATCGTCGGTAATGAGGCTGTACTTGCCGCGAAAGCATGGTGGGCGTGGTTTTATGAGCGCGCTCACCATGCATAATCGCGAAGTGTGCAGCCTCCGTGATTACTTCCTGGCGAGATCGGATGATCCATTCTATAATGACGTCATTTCTAGTGATAAAGGGCTTACCCCTCTATCCTTAGCCCACGAGCAATGGCAGGACCCGGCAGTGCTTAGCATTTCCGACCGGGAGACCGTATGGAAGGAGAAGGAGCTCCACGGGAGGTACTACAGGGCTCTTCATGAGCCCTTCGTAGATACAGTCGCCTCCCTCAACTGGCTACGTTTCGGTGACCTCTTCGGGGAAACCGAGGGTTTTGTCTGTGCAATACAGGATCAGGTTATTAAGACCAACAACTATCGGAGATACATCCTAAAGGATGGCACCGTCGACGTCTGTCGAGCTTGTCGCCATCCCGGTGAGTCACTTAGGCATGTTATCTCCGGTTGTTCGGCGCTTTCTAACTCTGAGTACTTGCACAGGCACAACCTAGTAGCCAGAATTCTACACCAGGAGCTCGCTCTGAAATATGGTCTCGTGGACCGGAAATTGCCGTATTACAAGTACTTGCCGGAAGCTGTGCTCGAAAATGACCGCGCCAGGCTCTACTGGGACCGGGCCATCATCACAGACAGGACTATTCTTGCGAATAAGCCTGATATTGTGCTGATGGACCGGGCACAGTCAAGGATATTTCTGGTCGACATTACCATTCCGTATGACGAGAACCTCGTGAAAGCCGAAACAGACAAGCAAACAAAATATCTGGACCTGGCTCACGAGGTGACCGACATGTGGGGTGGTCTGCCGACCGAAATTATTCCTGTAGTCGTCTCTGCAAACGGGCTAATCCCAGTCAGCCTCTCGGGTCATCTGAGGCGACTGGGACTACGTGGCGGACCGCTCCGGGCTCAAATTCAGAAGGCGGTGCTCCTCGATACCGCCCGCATCGTCCGCCGGTTTCTTTCCCTTTCCCCCTAACCCTCGGCCGTTTGGTCTCCCCTGCCGAGGGCCTCCATCTGGTTGGGCTTTTATTTATTTATGTATTTTTATATTTATTTTATGTTATTGATATTTATGTATATTTATCTTTTCATTCTCATTTATAATTATATATTTATAGAACCCAACCAGATGAGAAAACTATATAGATACCCCACAATAATAATAATAATAAGGCGTAGGGAAGTGACGATCCCATCGCCCGCTGACGTAACAGTTATGTGACAAAACCGCGACGTCGGCGCAGTCAGTCAGCATCCTGCCAAGAGGTGTGAGCGCCGTGCCTAGGCAAAATTGTAGATGCAAAGGCCCGTTTGTGCATATGGCCCAACCACGAAACGGCGCCGGGCTTGGGCGTCTCCCGTTAATTGGCGCCCATAAAATGGATGATGGAAGAAACACAAAAAGGAACGCGCAAAGGGCCGCTGCCTGGGGGTCGCCGGGGCGCGTCTGGAGCTGGCGCTGGACGCGGCAGCATGCGGGCCGCCAGCCGAGCGCGACGAGCTGCACGGTCATATAGCAGCCCTCCGCATCCATCATCCCCACCAGAAGGCTTGGTGTCGGCTGGGTCTTCTCGGGCTCAGCAAGCGGCACCCGCCGCTGGTGGAGGACGTCGCATGCGTTGGTCACAAGCAATGAATGCAAACGCACTGCGGGCGTACTTTAGGGCAAAAGGGGAAGAAACTGGATGTTTGGCGTATCGGGCTAGGATGCATCGTCTTTTTGCTGAGCTGGAGCCATCTTTAATCGTCACAGAGCAAAACCTGGCAGACCGAGTTCGGTATAACTTGCGCTCAAATATATTTGATGTCGCCGAACTCGAACGGCTACGACGTGAGGCTGTTCCCTCGTCGGAATGAGAATGCTACGGCTGAGGATGCGGCGCCACAAATGGTAGAGCCACCCGCAAACGTGGATGCCGCCGTGAATACCCCAGTTGTGGTTGATTCAAACGATGATGGAACAGTCGCCCAGGAACTGGAATTAGAGCATATGAGGAGTACATTGGAAGAGGAGATTGTGGAAACGCGTAGTACGCCTCTCGAAAATCGACCGCGACTTCCCCGCATAGCCCTAAACAAGCGGAATCGGGCTGTCGTGAGGGCTCTGAACCCAATGCTGGTGACCTATTTGGAAGCCAGCCGGGACCTTTGCGAGACGGACTCAATTCTTTTTGGCGCCGCGCTGGCAGTCTCCCGTATCATAGGCGCCAAGGTTTCCACGGCTGGACGCGCTACTGGCCATAGTAGCGCTATCCCAGCATGGAGAAGAAGAATTGAGGAACGTATCGCAAAGGCTAGAGCTCTCATCGGCAGACTGATATGCTTCAGATCAGGCAACAACAGGCCAAGAATTGTGCGCACCGTCAGGATGGCGTTTGCTGGGACAAATGTCAGTTTGTCCCAGCCGGATATAACGCAAAAACTGACGGAGCGCATAGATGATCTGAAGCAGAGAATCGCTGCTTGGGGAAAGCGGATTCGGCGATATACCGAGAGGTCGACACGGTTCAACCAGAATCGTCTCTTCCAGAGTGATCAGAAGAGGCCCTATGAATCATTGGAGCGACCAATGGTAAGTGGAACGGGTCCAGCACCGAATCAGGCCGACACTGTAGCATTCTGGCGCGGCCTGTGGTCAGAGCCCGTAAACCACAGCGAGGGCCCTTGGACGGAAGTTGTGGCGAGTCAGTGTGCGGGTATTACGCCCATGGACCCCGTCATCATAACGCCGGATGACGTAGCTGAGGCGGTCCGTAGGGCCCCGAACTGGAAAAGTCCGGGGCTTGACGGGCTGCATCACTACTGGCTGAAGAGGTTCATGGTGTGTCACTCTGTGCTTGCCCGACAGTTTCAAGAGGCTCTCAACCAGAAGTCGCTCCCAAGCCTCTTCACTACTGGGATCACTCATTTGGTTCCTAAAGACCAGGGTACCACAGACCCGAGCAAATACCGCCCCATCACGTGTCTACCGACCATATACAAGACACTAACATCCATTTTGAGCGCGAGAATCACTTGTCACCTGGACTCAAATCAGGTGATGTCGCGCGCTCAAAATGGATGTCGGGGCGCTGGTAGTGGAACCAAGGAACCACTCCTCATTGACGCGGTCATTGGCAAAGTGGTGAAACGCAACCGTCGGAACTTCTCCGCCGCCTGGATAGACTACAGAAAGGCATTCGACTCGGTGCCCCATACATGGCTAAAGAGAGTCCTCGAGCTGTACAAGATAGACTGTACAGTTAGAGACTTCCTCGAGCAGTGTATGGGGCAGTGGAGTACGATCCTTTGTCATCTGGGCGAGCGGATGATGGCTGCGGAGAACCACAAAAGGATAAGAAGGGGTATCTTCCAGGGCGATTGTCTGAGTCCAATCTGGTTCTGCCTCTCTCTGAACCCTCTCAGTACCTTACTGGAGGGCTCCGGGAGGGGATTTCAGCTACGGAAAGGAGGGACAAAAGTGACCCACCTTTTCTATATGGATGACCTCAAGTTATTCGCCTCGAGTCGCTCCCATCTTATGGAATTGCTAAACATCACTTGTGAATTTAGCAATTCCATTGGAATGGAGCTGGGGACGGATAAGTGTGCGGTCCTCCATGTTGAAAGGGGAAGGGTTGCTAACTCTGAGGGCATAGACTTATCTATGCCCGTCAACTTAAAGACCCTTTCCGAGGCTGAAACATACCGATACCTGGGTATGTCACAGAACATCGGTATCGATGAGGCTGGTATGAAACAGTCAGTTTGCGACGTGTTTTATGCACGCTTGACCAAAGTGCTTAACAGCCTTTTGTCCGGTGTGAATAAGACACACGCATATAACGGCTGGGTCATGCCTGTCCTCATATATACCTTTGGCATACTCGGGTGGACTCAGACCGAACTTAACGCCCTGGATAGAAAAGTCCGCACTACCATGACGTCCCATAGGATGCATCATCCGAGATCGTCGGTAATGAGGCTGTACTTGCCGCGAAAGCATGGTGGGCGTGGTTTTATGAGCGCGCTCACCATGCATAATCGCGAAGTGTGCAGCCTCCGTGATTACTTCCTGGCGAGATCGGATGATCCATTCTATAATGACGTCATTTCTAGTGATAAAGGGCTTACCCCTCTATCCTTAGCCCACGAGCAATGGCAGGACCCGGCAGTGCTTAGCATTTCCGACCGGGAGACCGTATGGAAGGAGAAGGAGCTCCACGGGAGGTACTACAGGGCTCTTCATGAGCCCTTCGTAGATACAGTCGCCTCCCTCAACTGGCTACGTTTCGGTGACCTCTTCGGGGGAAACCGAGGGTTTTGTCTGTGCAATACAGGATCAGGTTATTAAGACCAACAACTATCGGAGATACATCCTAAAGGATGGCACCGTCGACGTCTGTCGAGCTTGTCGCCATCCCGGTGAGTCACTTAGGCATGTTATCTCCGGTTGTTCGGCGCTTTCTAACTCTGAGTACTTGCACAGGCACAACCTAGTAGCCAGAATTCTACACCAGGAGCTCGCTCTGAAATACGGTCTCGTGGACCGGAAATTGCCGTATTACAAGTACTTGCCGGAAGCCGTGCTCGAAAATGACCGCGCCAGGCTCTACTGGGACCGGGCCATCATCACAGACAGGACTATTCTTGCGAATAAGCCTGATATTGTGCTGATGGACCGGGCACAGTCAAGGTTATTTCTGGTCGACATTACCATTCTGTATGACGAGAACCTCGTGAAAGCCGAAACAGACAAGCAAACAAAATATCTGGACCTGGCTCACGAGGTGACCGACATGTGGGGTGGTCTGCCGACCGAAATTATTCCTGTAGTCGTCTCTGCAAACGGGCTAATCCCAGTCAGCCTCTCGGGTCATCTGAGGCGACTGGGACTACGTGGCGGACCGCTCCGGGCTCAAATTCAGAAGGCGGTGCTCCTCGATACCGCCCGCATCGTCCGCCGGTTTCTTTCCCTTTCCCCCTAACCCTCGGCCGTTTGGTCTCCCCTGCCGAGGGCCTCCATCTGGTTGGGCTTTTATTTATTTAAGTATTTTTATATTTATTTTATGTTATTGATATTTATGTATATTTATCTTTTCATTCTCATTTATAATTATATATTTATAGAACCCAACCAGATGAGAAAACTATATAGATACCCCACAATAATAATAATAATAATAAGGCGTAGGGAAGTGACGATCCCATCGCCCGCTGACGTAACAGTTATGTGACAAAACCGCGACGTCGGCGCAGTCAGTCAGCATCCTGCCAAGAGGTGTGAGCGCCGTGCCTAGGCAAAATTGTAGATGCAAAGGCCCGTTTGTGCATATGACCCAACCACGAAACGGTGCCGGGCTTGGGCGTCTCCCGTTATTTGGCGCCCATAAAATGGATGATGGAAGAAACACAAAAAGGAACGCGCAAAGGGCCGCTGCCTGGGGGTCGCCGGGGCGCGTCTGGAGCTGGCGCTGGACGCGGCAGCATGCGGGCCGCCAGCCGAGCGCGACGAGCTGCGCGGTCATATAGCAGCCCTCCGCATCCATCATCCCCACCAGAAGGCTTGGTGTCGGCTGGGTCTTCGCGGGCTCAGCAAGCGGCACCCGCCGCTGGTGGAGCACGTCGCATGCGTTGGTCACAAGCAATGAATGCAAACGCACTGCGGGCGTACTTTAGGGCAAAAGGGGAAGAAACTGGATGTTTAGCGTATCAAGCTAGGATGCATCGTCTTTTTGCTGAGCTGGAGCCATCTTTAATCGTCACAGAGCAAAACCTGGCAGACCGAGTTCGGTATATCTTGCGCTCAAATATATTTGATGTCGCCGAACTCGAACGGCTACGACGTGAGGCTGTTCCCTCGTCGGAATGAGAATGCTACGGCTGAGGATGCGGCGCCACAAATGATAGAGCCACCCGCAAACGTGGATGCCGCCGTGAATACCCCAGTTGTGGTTGATTCAAACGATGATGGAACAGTCGCCCAGGAACTGGAATTAGAGCATATGAGGAGTACATTGGAAGAGGAGATTGTGGAAACGCTTAGTACGCCTCTCGAAAATCGACCGCGACTTCCCCGCATAGCCCTAAGCAAGCGGAATCGGGCTGTCGTGAGGGCTCTGAACCCAATGCTGGTGACCTATTTGGAAGCCAGCCGGGACCTTTGCGAGACGGACTCAATTCTTTTTGGCGCCGCGCTGGCAGTCTCCCGTATCATAGGCGCCAAGGTTTCCACGGCTGGACGCGCTACTGGCCATAGTAGCGCTATCCCAGCATGGAGAAGAAGAATTGAGGAACGTATCGCAAGGGCTAGAGCTCTCATTGGCAGACTGATATGCTTCAGATCAGGCAACAACAGGCCAAGAATTGTGCGCACCGTCAGGATGGCGTTTGCTGGGACAAATGTCAGTTTGTCCCAGCCGGATATAACGCAAAAACTGACGGAGCGCATAGATGATCTGAAGCAGAGAATCGCTGCTTGGGGAAAGCGGATTCGGCGATATACCGAGAGGTCGACACGGTTCAACCAGAATCGTCTCTTCCAGAGTGATCAGAAGAGGCCCTATGAATCATTGGAGCGACCAATGGTAAGTGGAACGGGTCCAGCACCGAATCAGGCCGACACTGTAGCATTCTGGCGCGGCCTGTGGTCAGAGCCCGTAAACCACAGCGAGGGCCCTTGGACGGAAGTTGTGGCGAGTCAGTGTGCGGGTATTACGCCCATGGACCCCGTCATCATAACGCCGGATGACGTAGCTGAGGCGGTCCGTAGGGCCCCGAACTGGAAAAGTCCGGGGCTTGACGGGCTGCATCACTACTGGCTGAAGAGGTTCATGGTGTGTCACTCTGTGCTTGCCCGACAGTTTCAAGAGGCTCTCAACCAGAAGTCGCTCCCAAGCCTCTTCACTACTGGGATCACTCATTTGGTTCCTAAAGACCAGGGTACCACAGACCCGAGCAAATACCGCCCCATCACGTGTCTATCGACCATATACAAGACACTAACATCCATTTTGAGCGCGAGAATCACTTGTCACCTGGACTCAAATCAGGTGATGTCGCGCGCTCAAAATGGATGTCGGGGCGCTGGTAGTGGAACCAAGGAACCACTCCTCATTGACGCGGTCATTGGCAAAGTGGTGAAACGCAACCGTCGGAACTTCTCCGCCGCCTGGATAGACTACAGAAAGGCATTCGACTCGGTGCCCCATACATGGCTAAAGAGAGTCCTCGAGCTGTACAAGATAGACTGTACAGTTAGAGACTTCCTCGAGCAGTGTATGGGGCAGTGGAGTACGATCCTTTGTCATCTGGGCGAGCGGATGATGGCTGCGGAGAACCACAAAAGGATAAGAAGGGGTATCTTCCAGGGCGATTGTCTGAGTCCAATCTGGTTCTGCCTCTCTCTGAACCCTCTCAGTACCTTACTGGAGGGCTCCGGGAGGGGATTTCAGCTACGGAAAGGAGGGACAAAAGTGACCCACCTTTTCTATATGGATGACCTCAAGTTATTCGCCTCGAGTCGCTCCCATCTTATGGAATTGCTAAACATCACTTGTGAATTTAGCAATTCCATTGGAATGGAGCTTGGGACGGATAAGTGTGCGGTCCTCCATGTTGAAAGGGGAAAAGTTGTTAACTCTGAGGGCGTAGACTTTTCTATGCCCGTCAACTTAAGGACCCTTTTCGAGGCTGAAACATACCGATACCTGGGTATGTCACAAAACATCGGTATCGATGAGACTGGTATGAAACAGTCAGTTTGCGACGTGTTTTATGCACGCTTGACCAAAGTGCTTAACAGCCTTTTGTCCGGTGTGAATAAGGCACACGCATATAACGGCTGGGTCATGCCTGTCCTCATGTATACCTTTGGCATACTCAGGTGGACTCAGACTGCACTTAACGCCCTGGATAGAAAAGTCCGCACTACCATGACGTCCCATAGGATGCATCATCCGAGATCGTCGGTAATGAGGCTGTACTTGTCGCGGAAGCATGGTGGTCGTGGCTTCTTGAGCGCGCTCACCATGCATAATCGCGAAGTGTGCAGCCTCCGTGATTACTTCCTGGCGAGATCGGATGATCCATTCTATAAGGACGTCATTTCTTGTAATAAAGGACTTACCCCTCTATCCTTAGCCAACGAGCAATGGCAAGACCCGGCAGTGCAGAGCATTTCCGACCGGGAGACCGTATGGAAGGAGAAGGAGCTCCACGGGAGGTTCTACAAGGCTCTACATGAGCCTTTCGTAGACACAGTAGCCTCCCTCCACTGGCTACGCTTTGGTGATCCCTTCGGGGAAACCGAGGGTTTTGTCTGTGCAATACAGGATCAGGTTATTAAGACCAACAACTATCGGAGATACATCCTAAAGGATGGCACCGTCGACATCTGTCGAGCTTGTCGCCATCCCGGTGAGTCACTTAGGCATGTTATCTCCGGTTGTTCGGCGCTTTCTAACTCTGAGTACTTGTACAGGCACAACCTAGTAGCCAGAATTCTACACCAGGAGCTCGCTCTGAAATACGGTCTCGTGGATCGGAAATTGCCGTATTACAAGTACTTGCCGGAAGCCGTGCTCGAAAATGATCGCGCCAGGCTCTATTGGGACCGGGCCATCATCACAGACAGGACTATTCTTGCGAATAAGCCTGATATTGTGCTGATGGACCGGGCACAGTCAAGGATATTTTTGGTCGACATTACCATTCCGTATGACGAGATCCTCGTGAAAGCCGAAACAGACAAGCAAACAAAATATCTGGACCTGGCTCACGAGGTGACCGACATGTGGGGTGGTCTGCCGACCGAAATTATTCCTGTAGTCGTCTCTACAAACGGGCTAATCCCAGTCAACCTCTCGTGTCAACCCCTCCAAGCTCAAATGCAGAAGGCGGTGCTCCTCGATACATCGTCTGCCGGTTTCTTTCCCTTTCCCCCTAACCCTCGGCCGTTTGGTCTCCCCTGCTGAGGGCCTTCATCTGGTTGGGCTTTTATTTATTTATGTACTTTTATATTTATTTTATGTTATTGATATTTATGTATATTTATCTTTTCATTTTCACTTATAATTATATATTTATAGAACCCAACCAGATGAGAAAACTATATAGATACCCCATAATAATAATAATAATAATTATAATAAAAAGCTCTTACAAACTAACCACGTATTTATCAATTGAGAAGTAGGGTTTAATATATTGCAAGAAATAATAAATTCTATCTGTCACAATTAAGAGTGCGGCCGCCGAGAGTACGCTTTCCTGACACCTATCAGTTGGGCATGACACTGGTGGTGGGTGATATGTACGGCAATAGGTGTTATTTTTACAATACTACTTTTTAGATCTGACTGAACTGAAAGTTTCACAATTTGCTACCCTGGCATGTTGTCTTTTGCATTTAATAGAAAGGCAATTTTTTAATGTAATAGTGTAAAGAAAATAATATTGCGATACGATGACATAAGTCCACTGTTGAACATATGCCTCCCCAATAGGTTACCTCATGGAGGCGATATATTGCTATAGTTACCACCGCTTGGTAGGGGTCGACAACCGTCGTTTTTTTTAATTATTTTGAGTTGTAATGAGAAAGGCCATCTGCCCATCTCCTGGTTGATTTTCTTGTGTTGTATCTTATGACATATACGGGTGATATGAAAAATGTATAGAACGAAAGAAAGAAAGAAAAGAAAGAAAGACCTTTATTCACTGGAACTGTACACATCACAAAAATAAAATAATAAACAGTTAAAAGTTAGTAGATTAATATTACAAGTGATGGGGTGTGTATCGAGCCAGTGAAAAGGTTATGACTCAGTGTAATGCTGCAGGGTAACCTACGGCGCTGATGATTCTGTCATAACCACAGATAAACGCACGATCCGCCTGGGTGTATTTTATGAAATACATTTCCATAATTTTTTTTATAAAATAAAGTTAAACGTTGCTCATAAATATACCCACATATACATATATTATACAGGTATATATCATTATAATATATATATATATATATATATATATATATATATATATATATATATATATATTATAATGTATATACCTTGTAGCAGCGGGCTGCTACAAAGAGTCAGAAAGGTAGCGGTTTTTCACCCCCATGACAAGGAGAAAGCACATAAAAGCCGTTGGTTCTGCGCCTGCTGAATTATGTTTGAAGGTTTCGATCAACAATATCGTTGGTATTGTTGATCGAAGTGGAGGATTATTATTATGGAACAACGCAACGGAACGGATCTAAAAATACTAGTTTCTTTCATATATGCACGAAATTTAGTGCTAAACTTTTTATTTTATTGCAAGTTGATGTACAATAATGATTCGCTACTTCAAATTCCGCCGTCCGATCACAAAATGAGTGAAGTAATAAATCCTACACTAATTATGTTTTGATATGAGAAATAATCTAAAAATAATATTAGTAGTATAGTTGTAGCACAAATGGGTTGACTCGACTGGGGAAGGACCACGCTCTCACAGAATACCAGCGTAAAATAGCAGTTTAATGCTGCTGTGTTTCGTATGGTGAGTGTAGAGAACCAGAGACCCATTTTACTGGAAACGAGGCATTCCATCTTAGTTCTCACGGGTGACAACGACAATATTCAACAAAATTTTGTCTGCTAGAATGAAATTATTTCAAAATCATGAAGTTACGGATCTTGATAATGCCGTGTAGCGGACGAGTAAAAGAAACCACTACTTCTTACCAAATAATATATATTATTACTTAGAAACTCTAAGACCCCATACAATCTCGTAAGTATCGTAAAAAACGACACAAGGAAATGAAACAGGAGATAAGCAACTATATCTTCCTGAAAACAATTCAAAATAATAAAAAAAATCGCGGTTGCCAAACCACTTGGTAAGAGAGGGATCTATGATAAATATTCCCCCAACTTTCAGCAGTGGACTTTTGAAAGGATATATTTAATGAATTAATGATGGACAATGACTTGAGGGAGCAAAGACGAAAAGGGGTAATACTTAAAAAAAATACGTTCGTAATAGATTTATTGGTAGTTGTGATCTAGCGAGAAAAGAAAAGGCAGACCGCCGTCGTACCGCTGTTATTGTAGTATTGTAGCAGCCAGTATCGGAATCCTCGGCGTCGACATATCGAGTGATGTGCAGTTTCGTGGACACTTGGAAGATAAGGCCAAATTGGCCTATAAAAAGCTTCGCGTGCTCAGCAGAGCGGGACAGTATTTCACGCCGGCAAACCGCCTGCAACTTTACAAGGCGCAGGTTCAGCCGCACATGTTACATACTGTTCCCATCTCTGGGCTGGGGCTCCCCAGTACCAGCTCCTTCCATTTGACCGCATCCAGCGCAGAGCGGCTCGAATCATCGACGACCGAGTGTCTTCCGATCGGCATGATTTACTTGCTCTGTGAAGATATGTTGTTTCTCTTTGCATTTTCTTTCGCATATATCACGAAGAGTGCTCTGAGGAATTGTCCCGATACCATCCACACTATGTGGATGCTTGGCGGTCCACCACTGTACGTTACACAAGGAGCTTTCTTCCGCGTACGACCTCTCTGTGGAATAGTTTACCAACGGCGATTTTTCCGGACCGATACGACCTAGGGATCTTCAAGAAAACAGCTTACTCCTTTCTAAAGGGCCGGCAACGCACCTGCAATTCCCCTGGTGTTGCGGTTGATCATGGGCGGCGGTAGTCACTTAACATCAGGTGAGCCTCATGCTCGTTTGCCCCCTCTTCTATAAAAAAGTGCCTTCAATGAACGTTTCGTGAAGCAATCCCAGTATCAATTAAGCAAACACAGTTATTTATTCCCTGTGAAATCCAAAATAAGTTTAAGAATAATTTTGCAGAAATATACCGGCTGAATTTAAGTAGATTTCATAGAGACTTTTTCACGATACATTTTCAATTATACAACGATCGTAGGAAAGTCCGCATTATTCGCCTACGTTTTTGTTGTAAGATGTCAGATAAAGCTTCCACAAATGTTCATTGATATAAATAATTATTACGAACCGGACTAATAAAAATCCCTTATTTTACTAAGGCATGGATTAATTGAATTTAGAGACGTTTCTTGTTTCGCTAATAGCGCAACAATAGAGGTGTCTATGGAATGGAAACCCGACAACAACCATGTAAAACAGAGAAAGTGAGAATAATATAGCTATCTTAATTTGCAGCATGTTAAGCGTCATATGAATAAATAACTCAGCTATAAGAATTTTGTTCCTTTTGTTTATAGGATAAAGGTGACAAGTGAGCACACAGTCCACCTGATGGTAAGTGGTTGCTGTGGCCCATAGACATCTAGATGTATCCTCGATAACGAACCAAAATGCAGATGCGTTGTCACCCGTGAGGACTTAGATGAAATACCTCGTTTCCAGTAAGAAGGGTCTCTGGTTCTCTATACTCACCATACAAAACAGACCAGCGTTAAGCTGGTATTCTGTGAGAGCGTGATGCTTCCCCGGTCTAGCCGACCCATTCGCGCTACAACTATACCAGTAATATAGTTGCATTATAGCTCTACCGCGTATTTAAACCATGGTTCTATCATGTCCAGTTATATACCAGATGCACCATGACTCCATGTTCTTATTTTAGGACTCAGTAATTACTCTGAGTTTATAAAATAAATTATAAAAAGCCAGTATCTTATAGGTATGAATCCAACACAGTTTGGCAAAATTTTATGCGTTGGTTTTTTCAAAGTACATAAGTAAAAAAAGAAATATGAAAATAATATGAATTGGACAAAAAAAAAATTAAAAACGTCGAAAAGCTGTTAAAGCAAAAAAATGATTAATAAAGTTTCTTAAAAATAATGAAATATTTAATAGTTATAACATTGAGTATGTACGTATGTATATGTGTTTGATACGTTTTATCAATTTGTGTTTCTCCTCTACTCAGAAAGGGCGCGGCTATAACAGTGCAGTCTCGGCGCGTAGGTATTTTCAGTAAGACAACAGAATAGAAGTGACAGTAGCCTAGTGGCAGGGCGCGGACCGCGAACTCAAAAGGTCGCGGGTTCGGATCCACCATTCGACTACTGTCGTGAACCACTCCTAACACAAGCATTTTCAGCTTACCAGGAGTGGTTAAATTGAATATTAGTAATGTTAATTAATAGGATTACTAATATTTAAAAAAAATCGGATATTTGGCTTCAGTTACTCTATTTAAAATATAATTTAATCAATAATTATAAACCCACATGTATTTTAGAAAATCATTTTACTACCCAGTACTATTATACAATGAAATAGAAACTCATATTTGTGTGTATACATGGTTTAATACTAATTATTTTTTTTTAAAAAGTGGCGTTTAACTATTTGACCGTAATTAATATGTCTGAATAAAGCATTCATCGTACCATTTCTTTCACTGCGATTTTTTTAAATTGCGATTTAATAGTTTTCTAAGCTTTAAAAGGAAGGACATTTTTTGCTCATATTTCATAAAACTAGCGAGTTTAATTTCTTTTAACTCGATACGAGCAAATAGGTACCTATAACAAGACATAGCATTTCCATACTATTAGGTTGCCTGTGTGCTAGTAATTGCTCTTACTCCTATAGAATAAAAATACGATTATATATATATATATATATATATATATATATATATATATATATATATAACATATTTATGAAAGAATTAGTTACGCGTAAAAACTCTGTGCGTAGTCCTCTCATAACTCACTGAACGGCTTTGAGTAAGTTCTGAAGAAAATATTGTATAGTTAATATCAGACAGATTTAATAGTGGTATTCAAATTTATACCATTTCATGTCAAAAACATCTCCACGACTTTTGACTGTATTATATTTAAATAATGTGGGTTAGTGTGTCATACTTTTCTTATTTTAAGATTTGCAGCTTTGTGGGAAGCGCTTACCACGCATCTTTTAGCATTGCATGGAATCACTAGAATTTTAGCTCATTGATTTCATTTTCGTATTTTGCTTGTGTATTTTATTTATGATTATTTGTACGATTATATGTAACAAATATGAATACCTTTGGAAAATACTAATAAGGACAACAAATATTATAACGGTAACTTTTTGTCTCTCAGGACTTTTAGACAAACAGGGACTTAAATTTAATGAAAAAGATTCAAATAAGGGCTATGCACAATTTATTTATCATGCTTCTTATTTCAATAATATCACCCAATGAGTGCCGTTAGAGGCGAGAGGGAAACCGAAATAGGACATGAATCTTCCTGTTAATAACTGAATATAACGCGGTTAAAAAACGTGGTTTTCAAGTTCTCTGCCTAGCGTGGTAATACTATGATGCAATCTCTCTTTAGAATAATCTATGTGGGGGGGTCTATATACAGTAGTGTACTTCTTATATATATATACACATAGGCTGTAATAAATAAATGAATGAATTTCAATCATCTAAATAATACACTCTCAGAGCACAATATCTGTGACGGGCGGTCAGTCGCCGAAGTAATGCGCTAGCTGTGTATGATGTGCTAGAACCACTGGACCAGAGGGGAAGCTTCCTAACAACGTCGAAAATGTTTACTTATTGTGATAATTTTCATACTATTATGGCTTATGTAGAGTAAAGCGGCGAATATTGAGAAAATACGTGAAATTTATAATTAAAAACCGCGCGAATACCTTCGAGAGAATTTTAAGGAAATAGGTATTCTCACAGAAGCTTCATATTATATTATATTTCTATCAATATAATTTTCGTAAGACAACGTATTCATGAGTATAAAAAATCAGGTGGTACCACCAGATTTTTTTTGTAATGGCTAATGACTGTGATAGTGGTAGTGGGCAGTGGAGGTGGTTGTGATGTTGATGGTGGTAGTGGTGGTAGTAATGACTATGGTGGTGATAATGACTGTGGTGGTGATTTAAAATTTATAATTCGTTCAGCATTAACAGAACACTAATTAATTACTTATATAAATTTATAAACTCTTTTTATATAATAAACAATCTCTAAACATAAATCTAATAGTAAAAAAAAATAACAAAATCATTAATTTATAAAATCATGAAATATTGTTCTTCCATATATTTAAAATGCGCACGACTAACAGCCTTTTCATGGATACTCGGACTGAACCGGTGCAAACCGGTTTGTACCCCGACGGAGCGTCGGTGAACCTGTCGGTGAGAACCCACGCATACATCGCTGCGCTGCATGAGTATAGTCGCAGCGAGCCATTTGTATGTAGCTTCCACTATGGTCGGTTTGTTTACTTGTGTGCTAGGCCCACATCCAAATGATATAATCGACGACTGGCAGTATCGTAAATATGCATCGACATCTGGTACCTACCTCGATCGTCATTCGTTAATCCGTGTGACAAGCGTGACTATCCATGTCCAGCAGATTTCTTTAACGGGCTGATGAAGACAAAGAAGAACCGCGCTGAATTCACTCTAGCAGTTGCACATGAAAATAACCTGGTCTATATTACATAATTATTTAATATAGTATCATGAATATGTACAGAATTATTTTTCAATAACCGGCCAAATTTGCAGAAAAGGTTCAGAATAAGTAAAATAGGCAAATGGTGAAAAAAATAGTCATAAAAATCTCAAACATTATGTCCTTTTCATCCTTTAAATTCAAAATACGTGTGTAATGCAATAATTAAACGATTTTACTGCGCACGCACACATTTGTAAGGGTCGATCGGTAAGCAAAAACGTTGTTGCCCATAAATCACATTCAATTTCGGATAACTTCAAATAAAAGTATACTTAAGTCCTATTTATTCGTATCTTCAAAACCTGCAATAACATTTTATCATTATTTATATATTTGAATTTAGGTTCAAAATTTCGCTACTCCTTGAAAAATATCCCTGTACTTGATTTAAAATGTATATGATTCACGGATCTTGACAATACGAATTGTGATTAAATTGATTAGGCGCATGTCAGCGCGCATATTCGTACCATAATCAGCGTCACACACTTGTAGTTTTCATCTTATATCTTCGATATTACTTTTGTCTTTTTCATTACTCGTATGATTAAATGTTGTATTCTTGTTATTTCAGCTTCCAGCGAGGCGGAATATGATAAAAGGCTAGCACAAATCCGGAGGGAAGCCGCAGTAACTATTTACGATATTTCATCACGTAATAAAACAAAGTTTGAGGTAAATACTTTTGTACTAATCAAATTTTGTAAGAAAGATAGAATTGTTTTAAATTAAGTCAATTATAATACAAGTAATCTTGAATTTCATTGTACGTAAGCAAGCTAAATATACTTCCTTAATTGAGTCGTACCGAATGCGTTAGAAACACGCTCTTACAGAATACCAGCGTCAAATAGCAGCTTAATGCTGCTGTGTTCCGTGTGGTGAGTGTAGAGAACCGGATACTTTTTTTTACTGATAACGAGACATTCTATTTCAGTCCTCATGGGTGACAACTGACAACGCATCTGCAATTTGATTATTAATTGAGAATACATATAGATGTCTGTGGGACACGGCATCCACTTACCATCAGTGGGAGTCAGTGCTCGCTTATCGCTTTTATTCTATTGTATACAACCACTTTTGATGGCATTTTCAATATTTCAACATTATAAAATGCAATTTTGGTGCTGCATTGTGGTAGTGGTTGCTTGAGAAGAAAACCAATATAATAAGGCCACTGTATTTAGTATAAATAAATAGGGAAAATAATGAAATAGATAAGTAATGAAATATAATTAAGTTTTATTAATATGGGTTGTTAAGCAACATGGCGTCTTTTTATTAAGGTTGAAATCGATGAATAAAGTATTTATTAAATAAACAATTATTTATGCATCAATTGCATACATTTTTGAACTTAATATAAACTAAACATGTTTCAATATTAGTGTTTTATGATAATAATAATAATGCTTGTTTGTCGCATTCTACTTTTCACTATTCTAATTTGACGTTAAATCGCGAAAGGCTAATAATAAGGTTAAATAATTGAACACAAACTAGAGCCACTCCACATTATCAACATTAAAAGCCTTTTGTCTACCGCCTTTCAAAGTTTGCGACAGAATAACTCATACTAGCTGTCAAATTCTTTAAACCGAAAAAGTGGATTGGAATTCTCTGGAAATTAAAAGGCTTGAGGACAGTGTGTTTTCAAACTCATTTTAACTATGAACAGTAATTAAGATTTATTGCAAAAGTGACACTGTTTCGTGTACCTTTGTGTTAAGTCGTTTCGATCGATTTCATTTATACTTCCGGGGTAGTTCCATATAAATTTCGAGAAAATATTACACCGTTAAGAGTGATAAAATAGAAGGCGAAGTTTTTATGTAACTGTTTAGACGACATTGTGATGATATTCTTAAGTTTTTTCCACTTTTTTTTTCATATTTTCATATTTATTCCACTCAGCAGGATAGAAAATAACTCTAAAAAAAAGTAAAAGTATTCACAGTTATTTTTATTATTTGCTTTAAATGCTGCATAACTGAATCGCAATTAGTTGATTTTTTTTTTGCTAAAATTTAATGTACACTACTTAACCTCTCTCATTTACAAGACTTTTAATGCACTAGTACCTCGAATTTGCAAATGTTGCATGGAACCCAGTTTATAGTGCGTCTTCTCAGCGAATCGAAACGATTCAGTGTTTTTACACGCTACCTTGGCTTTTCAACTCCAGGCATATCGCATAGACACCCCTATAGTCAAAGGCTATTTAGCATACCTTGCCACAAAACAAATTTAGGCGCGCATTATCCCCTAGCCAGAATATATATAACACATACTCGTACAATGAAATTATGATCAAGATACCGGACATCGACATTTTCAACGAATCTGCCCGATGTTTCAAAAAAAAAATTGACCAATTTCATTTCACCCTCTCAGCATTCATACACTCATTTCTCAGTTAGTTAATTAGTTTATAAGTTATTTTATATTCAGTACCATTATAATATAATAAGCTACACATTACGGTAAATGTTGTGTAAACCTGTAAATGGCAAACATATTTAACCATATTCATTTGTTATTGTGTTGTTGTTAATGTTTCATGTGTTTTGCTGTAGGTGTACCTTATAAATAAATAAATAAGACTTCAATACAGTCATTGAAATTAACTTAATGTATCTTTGCCTTGTTCACGATTCATGGTTTTTACTGCTGAAAATGTTGCTTACTCTACTGTTGGAAGGATTTGGATTTTTTACACTCGGCACACGGACTGAGTAATATATTATGTCGGTCTTAGACGAATTAGCTGTTTATCGAAGATTACTTAATCCGTCCCATCACACAGCAAGTCACTGGGATTTTGGTATATAATGGTATTTTAATACTATTATAAGCCAATGTTTAGATACTGCCCAACTATCCAAGTGGTGAGGAATGATGTAGTCGCAAAACGCAATGACACAGCTTAATACAAGCGTTTTCAGTGATTTATTTCTTCATTGTGTAGGTGTGGTAGGTATGGTATGTTATACAATAGTGAATGATTCGTTCATTTTATCCGGGTCGCATCAAATTTATGCCATTAAATTTTTTGAATGTTCCGGATGAAACAATTGACTGGATCTATGACCAAAGAGTATAGTAATATTCGACGACCAACATTATTGAGTGGGTCTCACAGATCACAGAGTACTGAAACTCGAAATAATCCATTTAAATGATTGACCCGAATGATGCGGTTCGTAAGACGAATCAATACTTTAACGACCGGATCACTAGAAATGAATGAATGATACATGTCTATTACGTTGGTGTTCTGTGAGAACGTGATCCTACCCTGGTTGAATCGACTCGTACTACAAAAATAATGTAGTTGTAGAATGGCTTTAGCACGTATATTGCTGCCACTGGCTGACTTATGGTGTTAAGCGGGTGGTAAACGATAGAAAAAAAATTAAACCTTTTTTTTCTTTTCGGAGAGAACAACAAAGTATCCATCTTATGTTGTAATAATGAATTTTCATCAAAATTAGTTTAAAATTTACAAAACAAAATCTAATACGATTATTTCATTTCAGGATATCATCAACTCTATTGTTAACTATTTAAATGAGTATGAAAACAACTATTCGGATTGTTTGAAGCATCTAAATGACAACAACACTGTAAAGACAACGTGGACATTTTGGAATTCGATGTTTTATGCAGGAACAATTTTCACAACAATAGGTACGTAAAATTTCTACACATAGTGACAAAAATATAACATTATTTTAAGTTATATCATTTCACAAGCGATGAGTTTTTAGAAAACTGTCTGTTTAAGCTAAAACCTGAAAAAGTGAAAAAGAAATTTGAATCTTTATACTTAAGCCTTATTTACGATTTTATACTTGTATGTAGCCTGTAACAACTAAGAGTGGTGTTTTCGATATGATATGGTAAAATGCAGTAATGAAAATAAAGTTTTAAATTTCATACACAGACCTTCTTCAAGAATCAATACTTTATGTAGCGAGTAACAACTAAGAGTGGTGTTTTTTTTATTACTGCGGGCGCGGCGGGTTGTATCGTTCTATTGTCGGAAGATCGTCTATAATCGCGGCGAGTGTCTCTCTATGTATCGGTACGCGGTGCGATTGTGCTTTCTAATTCTAACAAGCGTTCGGTTGTCGAAATAGCGGGGCGCAGCGTCGTGTAGACGGTCACGGGTGCGGGCGCGGGCATAATTGCTGGCGTCGGCGTGGGTGCGACGGAGGGCGCGGGCGTCGACAGATAATCGAGCGGAGACACGGGGGGCTTTCTCGAAGACGCGAACTTCAACCAGCATTTCGTCGTAGTTCCTAGCTTTCTGGCTGCTTCTTGCTTTACGCATGATCCCACGTTGCGGCTTCTGATCGTATTCAAAAAGACGCACGTATGGGTTGTCGTTCCCGCCACAAGGGGCGTTACCAAACGAACACCGTTTGACACCGTTAGGTGGTATGGACTGGCCGCGTAAACGTGGTAAGAAACAGGACAGTTAGACGTTAAAACGTCTAACGACGTTAACGGTTGACGGTGACTGATAAACAAGGAAAGATTTTATCTTCTATCTTCTTTCTTAGCCGATGATCTTCTTTCTTGATCGACGATCTGGACGAATGATCTTGATGATGATTCTTCAATCCAACGACGATGGACCAAAGAAATGTAAAGGACTTTATTTAATATGTATGTTACAAGAAGAAAAACTGAACTAATTAACTATTACTTTGACATCTGTCTGACTAAATATTTAATAGAAATTAATTGCTATTTTATTCTACTAGGAGCTAAGTTAAATTAAAGAGAATACGAAACTACACTTATTTTATTACGATATTTACAGTATTGCGGCTGTTAAGTATTCTAACACTATTGCATAACTAATGGGAACCTAATAGGGAGCTCGAGGGGTTTTCTTTTTTGCTTCTTGCTCCATTGCACCACCTTTTTGGGATTGGCTTAATGATCTAGCGAGAGATCTTTAAGCCGTAAACTGACGCGACCCTAATTGGCTGAAAGGAATAGTTTACCACCGGCGATTTTTCTGGACCGATACGACCTGGGGAACTTCTAGAAAAGAGCTTTTACTCCTTTATAAAACGGCCGGCAACGCACCTGCAATTCCCCTGGTGTTGCGGGTGATCATGGGCGGCGGTAGTCACTTAACATCAGGTGAGCCGCATGCTCGTTTGCCCCCTCTTCTATAAAAAAAATCGCTGGGGTATGAAACATGTTGCAGCTCGGTTCGTCCCAAAAAACCTGAATTTTCTCCAAAAACTCAGACGCATAAGAGTCGCTTAGGACATGCTAGAACGAGTTAATTCCGACCCAAAACTCATGAAATGCATTGTTACTGGCGACGAAACGTGGTTTACGAGTTTGACATGCAAACTAGTCAACAAGCTTCGAGTGGCGCCTTCCAACAGAACTGAAACCGAAAAAACCACACCAAAGTCGATCAAAAGTCAAAGTCATGTTGACTGTCTTGTTTAACTATCACGGCGTTTTGCACTCGGAATTCACGTGGCAGGTCAAACGGTAAATAAAAATATTATTTGAGCGTCATGTGGGGTTTATGTGTTAACCGATAGGGAAGAAAGGTTCTCGAGTGGCAGCCTCGTACCGGTAGGCGTAGTGTAGGGCGACCCCCACTAGATGGAGTGACGACCTGGTAAGATATGCGGGAAGTCGATCGATGCAGGTTGCTCAGGACCGTGCTTTGTGGCATTACTTGGGGGAGGCCTATGTTCAGCAGTGGACTTGTGAAGGGCTGTAATGATGACGATGATGATGATGTGGGGTTTAAAAGAGCAAATTAGAGGAAAAAAGCCAAATAAGTCGAAAAAAAATCTTGGATTTTGCACCACGATAATGCGCCTTAGCACAATGCCATCATTGGGAACGCATTGTTTTCCCAAAAACTCTAACTGGCTTATAATAACAGGAGAATCTTTTTACATTTTGCATTTTGATTCTTAATAATGTCTGTACAGCTGGACAGACTACTACATATTAAGACGACACATCGAAAAGGCTATCGCCGTACTGATCCGAGCGAATACATAATAAAAACTTGAAAAAACGCCGTCATAAGGTCTAAAATAGCGTAGCGCCCGCGACGATTAAAAGCGCTTAGAAATTGTCAGAATCTTAATATATATTTTTTTAAATTATTGATTTAAGTAATCAAAATAATGAGCAAGTAAGTTATGAATATTGATGTTATGAATATATTTGAGTGATTCCCAATCATATAGATTAAGTAATTTCGTTATAATTTCAACTATAGTGATTTTTTAGAGGTGTTTTCGCAAATAATTATGATCGAGTCAAAATTATACAATCGTGTTTTTGAACAATCAAATTCAAGATAAAGACATGAATTTACCTATATCAAAATTCCACTTTCGTTAGTGGGGTCATAGTCCTATACTATTCGATGAAAGGAGATGCATTTTTTCACGATGTCTCCTTAAGTTGACTGTGTGCTCGTTTGTCACCCTAACTTCAATAAAATCTCATATGAGGGTTTTGCTATGTTTAAATTATTATATTTATATATATTTTATATGTTTTATCCCATTTATATTATTTATATTTAGATATTGCCTTGATTATATTTATTACGTTTATTCCGAATTTATTACGTGAAGAAAAAACTGCCTGATTTCAATAGAGGAGTTTCATAGGAGGCTTGGTACTGCTGCCTGATTGGAACCCTGTAATTAATAAAATAAAATAAAATAAAAAGCCCAAGCATCGTTGATTAGCTATATAAACTTAAAATGCCGGGTTATCACCCGAATACTAGTATTAAAAATAAAATAAATTAAACGTGATAAAATCCGTAAAAGTAGTTTTAATCAAAACAAAAATATCAATTAAAACCCGTGTAAAAGAACATAAAGCTGACGTGAAGCATCAACGTTCCGGTAAGTCTGCAGTTTGTGATATCTTCGACGGCTCCAACTATTACATCAGATTTGATAGACCACAAATCCTCCCGAAAGAACATCACTTAAAAACTTACTAATATCAATAGAGAAGGAGGCTGGGTGCTACCACCTACTTGGGACCCTGTAATTAATAAAATTAAAACTAAACCCAAGCATACTACTGCAAATCTTTAAGGCACATTAAGTTCAATCTGCGTAGATCTTCATGCCTCAAATAAGTTAAAAATGCAGGGGCGTCTCAAAATTTTTTATGCTTCTTTGCTACTCGGCGTAATAAATACAAAGAATCCAGAATATTTACACAAAAAACTTAACTGAAGTTAAACTGAAAAAAACTTAAGTAAAGTTTATGGCAACTAAGTGTTCTCTGTGATCTCCCACCACTACTATGCACTATGACAAGTAACATCAGTTTTAAAAATAATTCTAGACGTCACTTACTAATCGAACAATTACTGTCATAATCGAATTATTTTTATTAAATTGCAGGGCAGCCCTGTAAATAAAATAAATAAAAATTGCCAGTAGGCGGGAAAACAACTTATAAGATCAAATAAATTAGGCTCATTAAAATAAATAATATTTTATACTGTTTCTTACTATTAGTTACATACATACATAAACACTCACGCCTGTCACCCAGAGGGGTAGGCAGAGACTAAAGACTTCCATTTGGCACGATCCTGACACAACTCCCTCGCCTCCTTCACATCCATATACCTACGCACACATGCTCGTCGGTTAAGGGTAATAATAATTTAGTTACATTGTTGCAATTATTACTAAAAATATAAATTTTATGGAAAAAAATTAATGATGATTGAAAATATTTCTTCAATTACTAATTTGAATTGGCTAATACTCGCTAATACTTGGGAAACCACGGTGTGTACCCGTGCCCTAATATGAACAGTTGTGATTAAAGGTAATATAAGCAGGGATGCGCGCGTACTGTACTCTTCATTTGTTGGGCGCTGGCAGAATAACAGCGTTGTAGGCAACTGCAACATTTATGCTGAGCAACAGCCCATTCATTACTACACTATGTAATTCTGGTTATTTCTGTGTGTACTGCTCACTGTAACTTTATTAGTGGTAAGGAATAAATGTTTTTATTATTATTATTATTTTTTGGGTTATTAATAGAGTAATCACATCTGGTTGGGCTGGATAAATATATAAAGGGAAAAATAAATATACTTAAATATATATTTAATATACTAAGAAATAAATAAATAAATAATACATAAATAAATAAAAGCCCAACCAGATGGAAGCCCTCGGCAGGGGAGACCAAACGGCCGAGGGTTAAGGGGAAAGGGAAAGAAACCGGCGGACGATGCAGGCGGTATCGAGGAGCACCGCCTTCTGCATTTGAGCCCGGAGCGGTCCGTCACGGAGTCCCAGTCGCCTCAGATGGCCCGAGAGGCTGGCTGGGATTAACCCGTTTGCAGACACGACTACAGGAATAATTTCGGTCGGCAGACCACCCCATATGTCGGTCATCTCGTGAGCCAGGTCCAGATATTTTGATTGCTTGTCTGTTTCGGCTTTCACGAGGTTCTCGTCATACGGAATGGTAATGTCGACCAAAAATATCCTTGACTGTGCCCGGTCCATCAGCACAATATCAGGCTTATTCGCAAGCATAGTCCTGTCTGTGATGATGGCCGGTCCCAGTAGAGCCTGGCGCGGTCATTTTCGAGCATTAACAATAATCGAGCAATAATAATAATGGCGTAGGGAATTGACGACCCCATCGCCCGCTGACGTAACAGTTAAGTGACAAAACTGCTACGTCAACGCAGTCAGTCAGCGCCTTGCAAGAGGTGTGAGCGCCGTGCCTCGGCAGAATTCAGGGTGCAAAGGCCCGTTTGTGCTTATGGCCGTCTACAATACGGTGCCGGGCCTGGGTGTCTCCCGTTAATGGACGCCCAAATTATGGATGATGGAAAAAAATATAGTGCGCAAAGGGCCGCTGCCTGGAGGTCGCCAGGGCGCGTCTGGAGCTGGCGCTGAACGCGACAGCATGCGGGCCGCCAGCCGAGCGCAGGGTGTTGCAAGACCACCTAGCAGCCCCCCGCATCCATCATCCCCACCAGAAGGCTTGGTGTCGGCCGGGTCTTCACGGACTCAGAGAGCGGCATCCGCCGCTGGTGGAGCACGTCGCATGCGTTGGTCAAAATTAATGAATGCAAACGCACTGCGGGCGTATTTTAGGGCAAAAGGGGAAGAAACTGGATGTTTGGCGTATCGGAGTATATAATAGTATTACGCCATTATTATTATTATTATTATTAGATCGGACCATAAATAATAATTAAATATCTAAAGGTACTCCGGGTAATAATGACATCGGGACGACAATCATCTCAATCCCCAGTAACCATTGGTGCTGAAAAGCACCCAGTAATGAGGTATTAAAAATAAAATTAATTTAATGCGATAAAATCCGTAAAAGTTGTTTTAATCAATATATTTTTTTAATTATTTTTGAGTTACACACAGCAGGGTTTTTTCCTAGCCATGTACAGTTTATGTATGAAAACCGACTTACTTGATGAATGTCAAGCGTCCATGCTTGATGAATTGCACAACACATTTGACAGTCATCTAGACCCCGATCAATTATATTTCGTAGGCCATACAAACAATTGTTTTGTGCGAGATTCTAACCCGAGACCCTACATCGCGAACAAATGCTTTGTCACTGTGCTAAGGAGTCATCGGCATCATTTATTTACTTATACTTGATTATATAAAATACCTTTATAAAAAGGTCGATTACAAAAGAGAGGAATATATGTCTCTTGGCATTCTTTATCCATCCACCCGGGATGTTATACATTTATATTTATTTTATAAAAACATCTTTTCCTTTGTAATTTTTCTAAGCTATATGTATAGTTCGATTATTACATAATCCATGACGTATTAAAGGCGTGTCACGTTTAGATATTGTGTTTTTATTTTTAGCGCACACATGCGTTAACCAGGCGGAATGTAGCTGCAGTTGTTTCAAAATTGGAACTCTGCCCGGCGTGTTTGTCGTTTGCTTGCTAGCTCAGTTCTCATGTGTGGTTACGACAAAATGATTTGAGATTTCAGTAGTTTATTATTATTTATACAAATTTTAGTTATCTGCGCAATATTTTGCTAGATTTTTGTTTTTGTTGTTCCTGGAAGTATATAAAGAATTAATTTTATATATGCTGACTTTGTTTACGGTCTAAGTGCTGAGAAGCTTAAAATAGAATCTTTTATTAGATCTTTTCGTTAATCCCAATGGCAAATCGAATATTCTGCAAGCAACGAATGCAAAAGGTAAGATATTAAATACGATAATTTACATCATTAGCGCTATAGGTGATTATTATCCTTGTTGAAATACATTTCGCCATAAACTTGAAAATTTGTCTATGATAGTAGGGCTATTAAAAATTTTTTGCAAATAATATCCGTTTTAGTTCATACAACTGTAATCTTCTCACACTGAAAAAGGTTATTTATATTATATGTTCTTTTTATTTCAGTTGCTGTGTTTGACCTTTGAATCAAGTAATGAATAAAGACGATAAATCGCATAATAATCATAAAGTTCCTATTATAAAAGCAGAATCAGAAACTCAAACTGCAGGAAGATTAATTTTTAAAACTACAGATCGATCAGAAATAGTGAAAATGGACGGGGAATCGCCAAAAGAGTATATGTCTATTCGAAAAAGAAGAAATTTGTCAAAAATTAAAGCGCACACAGCAAAACAAAGAGAAAAAACACCAGAACCTAGTCGAACTCCTGTTCCTCACGAAGATACGACAACTTCGGATGACGATGATCTACATTCACACAAAAATTCAAGAGAAATTGAAGCAGATAAAACCTATGAAGAAATGAAACGGTTAGTTCAAGAAAAAGCAAATTTGAGAGACCCTGTGTATGATTTAGATAGAGATGAAGTTCTTGAAGCTAGAGCAATAGCAGCAAATGAGCAACGCCGCAGGAGTATATCACCTTTTGCAGTTCCAGATAAAGAAGAACTTTCTCACCTAGAGCGTAAGGGAAGCTTTATAGATCCGACAAATAAACTTTTATCTACAAATTATACTCTAAGTCCTAAAGATGAAGATAAAAGTAGACGAAGTTCAATATCAATTGATACTTCACGAGTATGTGAAAAGGGAAGCTCTTTATCTCCTTCAGCATCGGCAAATTCATCTCCAAGGGATAAAAGTTTTCCTTATTCTTTACCAAGTACTCCAAAAAAATTAGAAGAAATAGTTTATCCTGACGAAGTTTCAGATAAACAAGCAATGGAAAAAAGTGATAAATCAAAATTTTCATCTGAAAATGAAGAAGTTATTGCTTTACAAGAAAAAGACAACACAAAAGTCCGCAAAACAAAAGTTCCTAAGTCAGTAGAATCAACCGTTTCTACTGGAGAATTGGTAACGAGAGTTATTCAAGTAGAAAGAACTCCAAGTAAAAAATTGGCTCAAGATGAAAAACCTGTAGTAGAAAAAAGAGAGCGCATTGTTAGAACTCCCAGTAGGAAAATGTCAACAGATATGAAGCCAACAGTTGTTAAGCAAATACCTAGTAAATCTTTAAAAGAAGAACCAAAAAGTAAAATGGCACCTATAAAACCCGCCAGAAGTAAATCTGCAACACGTTTAGGGGTCAGTTTGCACGTGGAGATTTTAGTATTTTTAATATTTATTTTGTGGATAATATTTTATTTTAATTTCATATAACGAACACGTTACAGAGAAAAGTATACGAAAAATAATTTAAAATGTAACTGTAGTCTGTGAAAGGAAATTAATGCTTATTAATTTATAATAACATTTACAGAGCAAAACAAGTGAGAGTGAAATGAGTGAGGATCAACTATATCAACAAAGGATCAAATCAACAAATGACAACGTCCCCAAGCGTAAAGTTGTCCCGACACCACGGCGGTTTTTGAAAAATAAGTCACCAAATGTTAATCGTTCGCAATCATTTAATAGAACAATAGAAACAGAGACTAATGTCACAAATGGTACAGAAATAAGTCAAACTAGTAAAGAAATTATCGAGCTAATGCAAAAAGCAAGAGCCAGAAGTTTGTCAATACCTAAAGACGATTCAAGGTTACCATCAGAGTATAAAAAATACAATAACAAAAATTTACAAACGCCTAACAAAACTCCAACTAGTTTAAGACACAAAAGAGGAATCTCTTGTCCTAAGACGATTCAAATAATAAGCGACAGAGAAATATTATTAGGACTTACTTCAAAACAGAGGCCAGATTCAGAACATGATAATCATAGTAGACAAAGTTCAGGTTATATTGATGCAAGTCAGTCTGAGTACACCTCCAGTTGTTATTCTTCTTCACCTAGTGAAAATGAATACGAGTTTGATTTATCTGAGCGAACCGCTGAATTAACACGTAAATTAAACCTTTTAAGTGAAGAAGTGGACAAAAGAGATTTATCGGGAAATATTATTTTAGCCCCAGTTAACGAATATATTCAGAAAAATAATTCAATTATATTTAAACAAAAACCTGTTTTAAGAAAAAGGAGTAATTTAGAGCTTGGAAATGTATCTCAACAAAATATTAAAGATGAAACAAATATAAGAAATACAAGTGATATGGGGATTAGTATTAATAAGAAACAAAAGGTAATTAATTATAAATGGAAAGTGTTTTCGCATTGGTATCAATTTAAGGAAGAGCAAAAGGAAGTTTATCAAAAAATTAAGTTACTAAGGAACCGATGTATTTGTCATATATTGCTTTTAGTTATTATGTGTGGATTTGGAGGAATGATGTTTAAAGCCTTAGAAGGATCATTTGAGAATGCCTACAAATGTGGTACTAGAAATGTAAAAAGAGATTTTATTGAGAGTCTTTGGCGTGGCAGTCATTACCTTCGGGAAGAAGATTGGAAATCCATGGCTAGAAAAAAACTTTTTGAATTTGAAGAGCAATTACACACTGCACATGAAGCTGGTGTTACATCTTACAGCGGGCAGAGATCTTGGAACTTTATGAACTCTTTTGTTTACTGCCTCACGTTAGTTACAACTATTGGTAAGAATACAAAACATTATAAATGGCTGTGCATTAATAAATGAAAAAAACTTGTATTTGTTTTTTATTTAGAAAAAATTCAACAGGTATTATAATTTAAACAAAGCACAAGTAAATAAACATTTAATTGTTCTATATTACAGGTTACGGTCATATAGCACCCAAGACAACGTACGGTCGTGTGGCAACAATAGTATATGCTATAATTGGGATTCCACTATTTCTGATTGTACTAGCAGACTTCGGTAAATTGTTTACCCGAATTATAAAATTTTTCTGGGCTTTTATAAGACGATTTTATTATACTAGAAGCTGCAAAAAAGTACGAAGGACAGTTCCAGTACAGGTAAGCTAAAATAGATCTAACTTAAAATGCTTCAAGTTAATAAAAAAAAACTGTCAGTCATAGGACAGCACATCAGAAGTGAAAACTTCTTAGCTTCACAAATTTGTGGATATTAGTTTTAGGTTGGTAAGAAATATTTTTAGGAAGTATTTTTTTATTAAAAATATTTTTATGAACGTATTAACTTAGTGATATAAAAGAGTGACCGTCACGCGAGTTCATTGCTTTTTCTCCATCCCAAAAGTGCCCAACGTGCCTAAAGAAGTTCAAATTTTTCACGTCAATATTTGAGGTTAAAAAAGGTTAAAAAACGATACTTAGATATTTTATATAGGTTTGAATTTAATATTTTTAATATTGTTTATAATTTTAAGTCTATGTATTTGGTACGACACCGAATGTATTAAAATTGATGATAATTATGGGCCGATTTTCCAATTGAGGTTTTAAAGTTATCCATCGAATATATTACAACTTGACTGAAAATAAAAGTGTGAAATTGTATTATTTATACAACTGTAATTTTTATAATCATTATATTAGATAGAAGATATAATATCCTATGAGTAAATCTTACCTGAGGTTTGAAAAAGAGGGAAGTATGAGTAGTCTTTAATCGTTTAAGAAAACATATATACATGTAAAATCATAAGTTAGGCATTTACTAATTTCAGATCTCTACAGATTATATACCTATTTGTGTAATAATAATTATACTAAAGTTATAGATATTTCCATGTTAGCATAATAAGATAAAACTACCGTTGCAGCCCGTCAAAAGTCCGCTGCTGAACATATACCTACCACTTAATTTTTTTCGTTGGGGTTCAAATATTTGCCATAGCCACGCTTGGCAAGCGGGCTGGCAACAACAATTTTTTTAGTTAATATCACAAAGAAATCGCTGCCCAACTCCTGGTTGGTTTACAGCTGTTGCCTTTTACTGTACGCAAGAAACAATCTAGGGTAGTGGACATTCTTATTTCATACACCGTCAATACACGGAAGTTATAATTGATAAACATTAATGTGTTTCCTTAATAAAAAAAATTACAGGAAGTTCTCAAGGGACTGAACATTGTTTATGATGTTGTACGGCGACCCTCCCAAATATTTTCTGAAGAGGATATAGATGACATGCCAGAAGGTGAAAAGCCGCCACCAATTGAAAGAAAATTAAGCGATGATGTACCACCTCCTTTACCACCGAAACCTGGAACATTGAAACCAGACCTTGAAAATGGAACGGAACCAGATACTCCAGCACCGTCAGTATTTGAAATAGATGATGAATTTAACTTACCAATTTCAGTAGCTATTGTTATTTTAATTATTTATATAATTATTGGAGCTCTTGCGTTTAACATATGGGAAAGGTGGGATTTCTTTGAATCTTTTTATTTCGTCTTTATATCAATGTCTACAATTGGTCTAGGAGATCTTGTCCCCGATCATCCAATATTCATGATGGCTTCAATTTTGTACTTAATTTTTGGTTTGGCACTTACCTCCATGTGTATTAATGTTGTTCAAGTAAAATTATCTGATACTTTTAAACAAGCCAGTGCCAAATTAGGGGCAACTATTGGCCTGAAAGTTGCAGAAGAAGATGGTAGTTTAGTACCTATAACACCACCACCAGTAATCATAGCTCCCGTTCATAAATCGAAAACAGAGATATCAGCCGTAGATAATGACAAAAGCAGCGAAATTAACGACATCGAAAGTAAAAACAGATAAAAGACAAGAAAATAATGTTTAATTTCCATGATGTAAAAAAAACGAGTGCTAAATGTAAGGTGCTAAAATAAAACATTATAATATTTTTGTATTATAATAGACATTGTTATTTATTCATTGGTTTAGTATTACTATAACTGCTTGATGCTTTATCTAAACAAAGGTAAAAACCAACACTTTTGTTCTTATTAATGTAAAACGTTCTATTATTAAATGTGATTAATAAAACAAGCAGAAAACTGAGTAATAGAATACGACGTTGTAGTAGAATAATCAAATAGTACTAAGATGGTTTTCAACTTAAACATTGAAGTCAGTCAAAAATGTAAATAGATCATTTATTTTATTAGATTTTTTTAAATTAAGTATTTTCATATATTTTAATCCAAGATTATTTGAAATATATTGCACATTATAAAGGATGAAATTATAACCAGAACAGATCATGCTTTGTTTTTCTAAGTCATCTGTAATAACACATCAGGGATAGGATAAAGTTTTTTTTATTATATTTTCATTTATTACGGAGCAGCGTTGCCAGGATATGATCGAACAATACCATCCTCACTCATCTTGATTCGTAAAATTAATTTTGTATAATGAAACTTAAATATTATGATACATTTTTATTAGAATAAACCCGTTACCGACTGGTCGTAATCATTAAATTGTCAGACTTGGACCTCTTCCATATATTACGAATAATTTGCTGTAATCGCGACTGCTGTCTTCCTCGTCTTATATAATGGATTTTATAATAAATGTAATAGAATGTATAAACATTTTACTAAACAGGTGTGTGAAATATAAATGAGTTTTGGTTTTATTTCCAGTCATAGTATAAATTATATTTTTTTAATAAAATATACCTGTTCATTTGCTTCTATTGATTAAATTAGGTACCTAACTGATGTAAAATTTATACCGTTGAGGTGGATTTCTATACCATGTATGAATGGAATAATAACGCTTTAAAAGTTTCAATAAGCCGATGAGTTTCTTTTTCCCTTCGTAAAACTTATAATTTACATATTCTTGAACTACGACCACGTCGTAATACTGAAGCATTAAATTAAATATTCTGTTTTCTGTCGCAAATAAATCCAAAAGACTTTCGTTACACCACTTTATATCTGGCAGTATTGCATTCATATTCAAATGATTAAGCTTATAGTAATATTCTAACGAAAATAACCCTTCCTTGACATCATTGACTTTGCCTAATATTTGATCGTTTTGAAAAATATATTGTTCTAATATGCTATAAATTTTATGACCTTTAAATGTACATGAAGAAGTTTCAAAATTTTCTAAACTGATGTCGTCCTCACATTGTAAGTGTTTAATGAAATCGTTCTTCAAGAATCTATTAAAAATTTCGGAAGTTTCTAGTAAATAAGCATTTTCCATTTGACCTTCTTGAAAATATTTGATCATTAACAGATTCAGCACTAGACTAGGAATTGCGACTGGAAGTATTTCACATAAGGGATCCATATGGCTATATCTAGACCATCCAGTTAAAATAATTCCTTCAAAATTGTATATGTTTTTTTCACCACCAAATTTGTAGTGGAAAATTAATTTAAGCCATTCCACGTGATTTATAAAACGATTTTTTAAACTGGGTAAAGTAGCGGTGCGTCCCTCAGCACCTTTGAATGCTGATGCTATCCAGATGTTCTCAAAGTTTTTATGATACTTGTAGAGGTTGTTATGTGAGACGCGTAAAGAGGGCGCATAGTCCCAGTACACTGGCTCTGTATTGGTTAATTCTCTATGGACAAAATCATCCAATTTGATACCGCGCAGCATATCGTCCCAAATTAAAACCGTCGTGTTGGGGCTCCAGAGCTTCACAGTACCTTTTACTTTTTGAAGATGATTAAAATAAATGTCTCTGAAAAAAAGAAGTATAGTATTTTTAATATAAAGTAAATGCTAGCTAGAGAAGGGTTAATTTGTAAAAAAATAATTGAGTTTAAAGAAATTTTTATGTGTCATACACGAGATCTATTTGCTGTATTTTTATTTATATTAATTATAAAATAAGGGTTTGTGTACCATATACCAAAAAAAAGCTATGTCTATATTAGCAGATGTTTTTGATATTATAGTAAGAATAATAGAACACATTGTACGCAAAACAAAATAAAGTATATAATTTCATTTTACGATTTTCATTTAATTTTTCTTACATATTTCCAATTTAAAATATGTTTTCTTTTTGATGAAATTGGAGTGACAAAAGAACGTACTTTCAAACTGATGGTAAAGAGTATTAATAATTAACCGCTCACCAGACGTTATGTGAGACGCGTAAACGTCGCTATTTTTGACTTTAGTGAAGTCAATTGTGTTACGCAGTGCCACCATATATGAAAAGTGGCGTTTCAAATTAACGTTCTTTCTTATATATATATATATATATATATAATATATTTTTTTATTTTGTTTCGGTGGTTGCTGTTTAATGTTTTGCATAGAGTTTTCTTTTTAATTATTTCACTTTTAGAAATATCCGTAGTTGTAGCTTATAGGTCATTCTGTTCTACAAATTTAAAACTAAGTAGATATTATTAAAGTATTACCATTTAAAACTATAATTGAATATTTTTAGACATTTTACAGCTTTAACAAGTCATCATTATATGCTGTAAACAATTATCCAGTAGGTGTTTCGTACAGCCTTGGTGACGGAAAAAGTGGTGAATTTCCTCATTGGTTACTGCATTCTATGGACGCCTACAGCAAACTTCAAAGAAAGGAGCCTCCAAATACGTTTTCAACTCAGTGTACCTTTCAGCTCTCTATACCTTTCAAACAAGTACAAGCACTGCTACTTGGCGGCAGAAATAGCTATTTCTGCCGCCTAGGTACTCCTACATAGAAAATAGTACCATTACGTAGATATAGTGTGGCTGTCACAGGTCCACGGATCTGATTATTTCAAATTTCAGCGGTTTGTTAAAATAAGTAGTAGTATAGTGATCAATATCTGAGAAAAGTATTTTTAAGTAAATACGTACTTATTTCGTCTGCTTTTTATGAATGATATAATTGTAATAGGATAAGGCAATAATATACAGTTCAATATACGCAAGCATATTATTATAAACATATTGCTATAAAACTTATTATCATTAATTTAGCAGACCTCGAGAGTACCGTAACAATTTTATGGTTGGGCTTGACTTAATTTAAATTCGTGAGTAACCTAACGTAGAAATTTCAAAGATTTCTTTATGTAGTTGGAATTTAACTTTTTAGAATATAATCGAAATCAACAATGAAATGTATAATCCGTCTTCCCTTGTCTCTTGTATATATGCAACACAATATATATATATATATATATATACCCATATATATGTATTGTATATATATACCCTTGAATTTTTTTACGTTTCTTTTTCTTTGAACCCCTTTCTAACGGTGAAAGTAAGAAATTACAACCTACTGTACCTATTGGACTGTGCATGGAACGCTTCTCAATATTGAAATGTTTTAAAGACAGGGAAAAGAATTCCACGTTAACGCAAGTTGTTTTGGAGAACTTCAAATGTCCTTGAAATATTGCGCTTAACAATTTCAGTGGTGTTGACTCAGATCAAACCAAAGAATTTGCATTGACTTCAAACCAATGAGAATGCTTAGTTAGTAACCGTGTAATTACGGCGTAAGTATATTCACTGTTCCATATCGTCCCGTGGGTGTCAAAAAGAGCGACATAAAGAAATAAACTAGGAGATGAGTAGCTGCGTCTTTTTAATAAGGTGTGGTACCACCTTTGCATCTGAGGCAATGTATGGAGAGGCCTATGCCCAGCGGTGGACTATTGACGGTGTGGGCGAGCTATTAATTACATTTTACAATTCCTAACACTATGTAAAGTCTGAAGTGAATTTGGAGTGAAATTGGTAGTGCTACTTACTCGCACTACTTATGTGCAAAACTAGGCCCGTCGTGACGGGTAGTATATACTATAAAAAAGAATTCACTTACATGTCTGTCTGATTCCAAAGACGGCATTGTGCACATTTGTTAATATGGAACACCTCATCGAAACCTATGTGTATATGTTTAAGTGGATAAATACTACTGTGGAACACGACAATCTGAAAATGTGTTCATACAATACATATTAGATTTTATTAGGTTTTATTTTTAAGTGGTAGAGCAATACTGCAGATATACGAGTATATTATAGCTGCAGCATGCGTAAGTTGGATTGACAAAGGAATGAACACACTCAGAGAATACCAGTGTAAAATAGTAGCATAACGCTACTATGTTTAATATGTGAGTATTGAGAACCGAATACTCTTTTACTTTACCAGTAAAAGGGTATTCCGTTCTCGAGGCATTTCAGATTAGCTCTAAGGAATGACAACGTATCTATTTTATTTTAATCTAGGATACTCTTTGTTTAATAAGGAAAAACAAGCTAATATTGCAAATATTTACAAATAATGTAATCGTATTTTTTACGAGTAAAACCTAGTATTTATCAGTCTACAGATCATTAGCGAGTTCTCCACACTCAGCACGAGACCTTATCACGAAACTTGTCTCGAAAACTCGTAGTTCCTGGCTAATTTATATTAGGTATATCCGTAACCGTGTAGTGGTGGAATAAGAGTATTTTTTTTTATAGGATCGGGTGACAAACGAGCACACAGTCCAACTGATGGTAAGTAGTTGCTGCGACCCATGGACATCTACATTTATCCTCGATTACAAATCAAAATGCAGATGCGTTGTCACCCGTAAGGACTAAGATGGAATGCCTCGTTTCCAGTAAAAAGGGTCTCCGGTTCTCTACACTCACCATACGAAATACAGCAGCATTAAGCTACTATTTCACGCTGGTATTCTGTGAGAGCGTGGTCCTTCCGCGGTCGAGCCGACCCATCCGTGCTACAACTATACTACTAATATAACTGCAGCATGGCTCTACCACGTAATAACTAGTATCCACTATTACATATAAATCCATGGGTGTCGTAAGAGGCAACAGTGGAATACTAAAGAGACGAGGTAGATGAGGGCGATGGGGAGCAGCATCTTTCCGATAATAACTCAAAATCAAAAGGCAACTATGGCAAATTTCCCTCCATGTGGCAATCTATGGAGGAGGCCTATGTTCAGCAGTGGACTTTTATAGGATATAATGGATTGATGGATGGATAACTAAAAGGTAAGAAGTTGAAAATGCCGCCATGTGTTAGAGGCTATTAGATGGGGAACAATGGGAATGGGGGATAAAGATGGGGAATCTAGGTTGCCCTATGCTATGGGATCACCAGGCCCCTCCGTCAATAGAAGTGATATTGCTGTAATAAACATAGTTTGGGCACCAGTCTTCCACCTAGATCTTATTTAGTTAGTATTTATAGCTGTTATTTGGCTGTATAAGTTAACTATTACTTAGTTTATTGTAAATTACTCATAATATGTGGGAGAAAATAAATACTACTTTATTATTAATATATGGCTTTTTTCCCATTGACATTTAATCATAGAATGCAATTCAATGATGGATACGCTTGCAAGCAATAATGAGCTCAATTTAGATGATAAATGTTATTTTCCTAAAAATGATTAATTTATGTATTGATTTGCGAATTACTTGTCAGTAAAGAAATAGTAACACTGAAAAACCTGTTGAGAAGTTGAAATATTTTGGGGACATGTCATGTCCGCCTTTAGGCATTCAAACAACGTGAACGCGTGTCCTTCTTCCCTTTTGATCAAAAACCTACTGTAACCCTAGCAGTGAGACGTATCTTATCTCTTTTTTGGCTTTTAAAGGCCATTGCTAGACATAACTTCGTCTGTTGCGAGGATTTGCCATAATCTTCACGTGACAAGGGCAATGTCAGATAGTGGTAAAAGTAAAAAATAACTTTCAATAAGAATTACATGTAACCTATATTGAACAGAAAAAGACGTCTTGTACCCTTGATGCGACTATACATAACCGACATATTTTGTCATAAAATTTACTATAAAAATTGACAAACAAACAAAGTTTCATCATTACGATTATCATCATTACATACCTTCACAAGTCCACACATATCGGCATAGGCACATAGGCCTTCACCAAGAAATGCCACAAAGCACGATCCTGAGCCACATGCATTCATCGACTTCCTGCATGTCTTACCAGGTCGTCAATCCATCTAGTTATCTGAGACGTTTTCTTCACTACTAGCCATTTGAGGAAGTTCAAGGTCACTCAGTGAGCTTTGGAAGGGGCTATGCTTGGGTTTTATCTGCGTGATAGCCTTAAAAACATAGCTTAGTACGTAACAATTACCTGTTTTAACATGTCATTAATTAAAGTTGTACTTTCCATCTTACTGGGACAAATTGAATCGGGATACAACGGGACTTCTCTTAAATGCTTAAATTCAGGTAATTTCAGAGCATGCTCCAAATGCCCAAATGTCTGAATCAATGGAATTATTTCAAAACCTGCTCTTCCAGCTGCTGTGATAAATTTTCTGAGCTGAAATAAAAAAAAATCAATGTTTGTATTTTTTCAAATAGCTAACCAAATTCTACGTTTCATAGTTTTCCTGTATCGTGAAGGGTTTTTACATCCATACTTTACAAATATTCAAACATAGAGACCCGAAACAAATAATTTTAGACCATCATACTATAGTTGATCGCTAAGCATTTGCCAATGCGTAACACAGCCGTTGAAACTAGTAGCTTAATGCTTTCATTGTTTGTTTCGTATAGTGAGTGTAGAGAACCGGAGGCCTTTTTAACTGGTAACGAGGTATTCTACCTTAATCCTCAGAGGTGATAATGTATCAACATTTGGATATTAAATAAGGATAGGTATACGTGTCTAAAAGTCACAGCATCCACTTACCGTCAGGTAGACAGTATGCTCGTTTGTCAAGCAAACTTTATTCTATATTAAAAATTTCTCTTGAAACGTAATGAAAAAAAGAATCAAGAACAATTCACCTTTTCTCTATTCTTTTAATTCTAATATTCACACAGTTGTACCTACACGCTTCTCTCACCTATGGAGGATTTGCGATAATTATGTTAATAGTTAGTTTTCTTTAACTTGACAGACAAAACGATAAAAATAAACAGATCGTCTATTTAAAAACTGCATGCGCCTGACTTTCTGTTGCATTTTTGGCATATTAAATATATTAAATTTTTTAAAATTGACTAAAAGAAATAGAATGGGTGCGCAGATTTAGATTTTATGAAACTACTACTACTAAATACAGTAAACGGGACAAAACCTACAAAAAAAAAAAAAACAAGGTAGACATTTGCTTGCTTTGCCAGTGTTAGTTTTATTATCTGAATAAAGATTAGAAGAATACATATAAAATTTTGTCAACCTAAGTCAGTATACTGAATCATTCTCGGCTGCATCACTATTTGCCATCAAATGACGGATATTAGTCAAGCACTGAATTATAATGGTATAAAAATGACATACCTCGTGTTCCTTGTAGCATATATTAGAACTTAAATTTGCAATTTTTCCTTTGTATGGAAACATATCCTCGTACTCCATCAATAACGCGTTAACACCAAGGTCCTTGAATAGAGGAAAAATTGATTCAAGATAAGACAGTTTCGGCGGAGATCCTTTTAAATCAATATGAACGACGACTTTTGATAAATTAACTCCCAATGCTCGCATTTTCATTGTTTTATGTTTGTGTAAAAACCAAGCGTGCAATAAAACGTAAAATAGAGATAAATAAACAACTCCCATAAATATTGTTATCGCGTTAATTTTTATTCTTATAAGCCGAAGTTTAATTAAGTTAGGCATAGTAATATTTTTGTATATCACAAAAAAATAAACCACTATTGGCACAATGAACTTTTAACCGATCACAAACTAGCAACACGACATATTCTGTGCAGTTCCTACGCTGCTACTCACATGTATTGCTTCAGTTGTAATTCAATTAGTTTGAGTACATGTTAAGGATAAGCGCTCGAAGACATTTTTAATCTCCCTTTTATGCTAATTTATTGAATTTTTTTCAACCTGACTAAATACGTATAGTTATTGCATTAAAAATGTGATCGAATAAAATAATAAATAAAAATTCTACAAATAAGTAGCTCACCATGCCTTTTATTTTTTACTTATTATCTACCTTTTTATTTAGTTTTTTTAATTAAAAAAAAAACAAATTTAAGAATGTAACGTGAAATATGGTCGAAATTGTCATGAAATATCTAAATAAACTACAACTGCATTTGCTAGGAAGAAATTATGCAACAATAGACTTTAAATGACTCGACAATAAATTGATACCCTTGAGTGCATTCTTCGTAGTTAAGAAGGAAACGAGTTCGCTCTATATCAGTGATGTTTAATATATATATATATATATATTGGAAATAAAGTTACAAACTCTTGCTTTAGTAATATATATATATATATATATATATATATATAAATATATATATATATATATATGGAGTTGATCGAGCAAGTAGATGAGTTTGTATATTTGGGTTGCGTATTTAGCAGGGATGGGAGATATGATAAGGATATAGAACGACGAGTGAACGCAGGAAACAGAGTAAATGGGGCCCTGCACTCTATTGTGAAGAGTCAAAATGTGTCAAAAAAGGCACGTATGGCAATTCACAATGCTGTGTTGGTCCCTACTTTAACGTATGGTAGTGAAAGTTGGGTGTGGCAGAAGAAGCACGAGAGTAGAATAAATGCAGTAGAAATGCGGTCGTTAAGGAGTATGTTAGGGCTGAATCTGAATGACAGGGTGAAGAATTGTGTGATAAGAGAAGAGTGTGGTTTGCAAGATGATGTTGTGACCAGGATTAAGAAAGGAATGCTTCGGTGGTTTGGTCATGTGGAAAGAATGGATGAGGAAAGAGTGACAAAGAAAATTTATGTTGCAGAAGTGAATGGCAGAGTCGGAAAGGGACGTCCTAGGCGAAAATTTATCGACCAAATTGGCGATTTATTGAAAACGGGCCAAATTAGGAGTACCCTTAACCGACGAGCATGCATGCGTAGATGTATGGATGTGAAGGAGGCGAGAGAGGTGTGTCAGGATCGTGCCAAATGGAAGTCTGTAGTCTCTGCCTACCCCTCTGGGTGACAGGCGTGAGTGTTTATGTATGTTATGTATGTAATATATGACAAAGCAGCATGTAGGTACTCTAAATTATTTTTAAACGTCACTGGTATAGAGCGATCTCGTTTCCTTCTTAACTACGAAGAACGCGTTCCTGAGTTATACCACAAAAACGGTAAATAATTTTTCCTGTAAAATTTAAGTTTTACGATTACCGACGTTTATTTTACAGGAAAAATTATTTACCGTTTTTGTGGTATAACTCAGGAACGCGTTGGAATATAAAAGTGATTAATATGTCAAATGAAAGATAACTTTTTACAGAGTCTGATCACAATCTTAATATCTTAAAATAAAATGCGCTACAACGTGTTTCAGTATTATTATCTTACGGGATTATTGTGGTAAATTTCTCAAAAGTGGATCAGTTTTTTATTTAAGACGCAAAATTTAATATATTATTGCAAAGTTATTGCTGTACTTTACAATATAGGTAAGGCATAAACAAAGACATTAAACTCTGTCATTGAAGTAAAAATCAATATTGTATTTTCTAAATAATCGTCTAATAGGAACAAACTTCTTGAGAGATACTAAACTATAATGTCAATGCTTAGGAAAAAAAATATTATTTTAATCATATTAATTTATTTTGCATTAAAATCACACAAAGTCAGTCGCCATTCTAGGCGTTATTTAAAAAAATCACTAGTTGTTATGAGATTAAAAAAGCGGAGTATTAAATGTAGTTTATTAGAGTTTAAATTATTAATGATTTAGATTTAAAATCCACGTGAATCATTATTAAAAATCAATTAAGGTAATAAAATAAAAGTCTCTTTAACCGCATTATTATTAATTGTTCTAAATCTAGTCACTATCACAAAAACAGGGATTTAAAAGGATGTTAAAAACGTTACGTTAAAAGTGTGGAGCACGTTTATAAAACCTCGCAAGATCTGTACGCAATCTGTATGTATTATGTCTGTACGCAATCTGTATGCATTTTGTCTGTACGCAATCTGTATGGCTAATGGTTTAATTTTAGCAATTCAACGTTCTCCAAATGTCCAACTTTTTATATTTTGAATTTTCTAAATTATACGCCAAAAGAAAACACACTGTATTTTCTTGAAAACATGAAAGACTGACTTCCACTCTCACACGCCCATCAAATTATCTTACTGTCTTTATCATTTCGCCAATTATAAAAATTTACTAGTATTATTCATTATTTTATTTCATACAGCCCATCAGTGGTCTGTGCATAGGGATTTTTTCAATTATTTCAGCAGCTGTTTTTAATTATTTTGTCTTGTTATCAGGAAGAAGCTGCTGCTCTGCTCTCCTGTTTCATTTTTTATCGCCTTTTACGGAACTCATGACATAATAACATCAGATTGCATTAATTAATTAAGATTTTATCTAGGAGTTTTATTTAGGAGTATTGATAACTATTTTTATGTTACTTAGGTTCACTCTCATTTTGGTTGTGCCCTATTTCTAAAAACCTGGGTGCATAATAGAAATCGTGAATAGTTTGGCGGCATAGACATAAAAAGATAATTTAAACAATGTAGCATTTTCCTGAAAATTGATTACGTACGGACACAAAATGGCTGGAAAATAATCTTTTAACTGTTAATTGTTCAAAAACAAAATACATCTGTTTTTACACGAACCATAATCTCAAGACCACCACCACCACCACACAGCTTTTCTGTCACCATGTACACGTTGTCGTAAATACGCTCCAAAAAAAGGAGAGATGTAAATGTACAATATTAGAACGAACATCTGCGATAAAATACCTTGGAGTAATCCTTGATGAAAGATTAAATTGGCAGCCTCATATAGCAAACGTATCTAAACGAATTCGGAAACACACTATAGTATTTATGAACCTAAGAATTGCCCTTTGTCATTGTCTCATAAATTATTGTATCTGGTCATTGGGGCTCCCAAAACATATCTTATAGAGGCCGAGTGTGCTCATAGATTTTTACATTAAAACTAGTATTACATCTTCCTTATACATAACATAACATAAATTAACATAACGTCCTCCGGACCGAATTTCGGCCACGGCGGCCTGCCTCAACGGAGGCTAGCCAACGGCGCAGGACAGGATTATAGTGCCCAAGTGTATGCGCAAGCGCAGATGCACTCTCTATTCCCTCACTCTCATAATCCGTTTTTCGAGGCACGGGGGTGGGACACCGCCAACTTCCTGACTCCAGGCAGCTACTGAGAATTTCTTTGACAGAAAAACTCAATAATCGATTTTTTGGCCTGACCCGGGATTTGAACCCAGGACTTCATGATCAGCAGTCGCACTACTACAACCGCTAGACCAACGAGGCAGTCAGGAGTTCCTTATACATACCCAACATCTAAAGTATACGAATTGGTAAATGTCCTCAGTCTACAAAAATTATATATATACTTATACAAATACATATAACAATATCATAATTTTTTCCCCAGTATAAGTAGCTAAAAACAAAAGAACACAAAAATGTCCAGTAACATTTGTCGTATTAATAATAGTTGTTTTGCGTTATATTCAAAACTCCTAGTAAATATACAATAGCAATTTTATCATCTCTAAAAGTTGCCCATTCCTGTCCATGTCCTGTCCGTTTCAATTCTTCTAGCGATGCTCTTATTGTGTGCTTAGCCTGTGCAAACCAATAAGGATACATGTTCCTTATTTTTTTTATAGAATAAGGGTGACAATCGAGCACAAAATCGATGGTAAGTGGATGCTGTGGCCTATATACATCTACATCTATCCTCGATTAAGAATCAAAATGCAGATGTGTTTTCACCCCTGTCCTGAACTGAGACGGAATGCCTCGTATCCAGTAAAAAGGGTATCCGGTCCTCTACACTCACCATACGAAACACAACAGCATTGATCAGATATTTTACGCTAGTACTATCTGAAAGTGTGGTTCTTCTTAAGTCGAGCCGAATAAAACCATAATATAGCCGTAACATTGCTCTACTACGCATAAAGTTTAGCGATTATCCCCTGAGCTGCCACGACTATAATTGCATAATATGGTAAGTAGGTCAATGGGTCGTGTATGGCCACGCCCATGTCTTCCCGTGGGTGTCGTTACTGGCACCAGAGGGGAAATTGAACAGGACATGGCCAGCAGCAGCTCCTGATAACAATTCAAAATTATAAATAAATGCCATTCCTAACATCGCTTGCCGAGTGTGACAACTGTAACAGTGGACTTTTGATAGGTTGTAATGATGAAGTAAAGTTATGGCTTATATTTGTACGTCACACTGCTCGGTACGGGCCTACTCTCAATTGTAAAAGAGTTTAGGCAAGGAATTAACCACGATGCGTGTTGGTAGACCTCACATGTCTTTAATATATTTTTTTTTCGTTTTTTTTTAATGATGCATTAGAATAATTGATATGAATCAGTAGTTTGTTCAAGTCAGAGTTACATATATTTTAATCAAATATTACATAGTATTTTATTAAAATACATATAACTCTTTATGCTCTCTCCACAGCAAGTTTCAAATTTCTTGAGACAATTATATAGCAATTAAC